TTTTTAAAAAAAATTTTTAAAAAATTTCAAATTTAAAAAAAAAAAAATATTTTTAAAAAAAAAAAAAAAAAAAAAAAAAAAAAGAAACAATTAAGACAATGCAGGGACAACATTGTCTAGACGCTAGGAAAGTTACGAAACGCATGTCAATTGTTACTCTCAGATAAGTGTGAGTGCTTGCGGTGTGCGGAGGATGGATGATACGCGTCAAGTATGAAAGCGAGAGAGTGAGAGAGAGAGAGAGAAAGAGAGAGTATTCTAATTTAAAAAAAGAAGCAAAAAAAGAAAACGAAACGCAAGAAGCAAGAAGCAAAACGAAACGGTAACGTGTGACATTGCGAGAAGGGAAGGCGAAGAGACGAAAGACCACGACCAGAGGAATCTCGAGAGGAATTTCCGGGGGGAAAGAAATGTTTTGCGTTCGAATGAGTGACTTAGTGCAAACGATTTAGTGAAAATTAACGAAGCGAGGAGCAACACGAGCAGCAGGAGGTACGGAAGAGGAAACATAAGACGTACAAGAGGAGAACGAGGCAAGTGACTAAACATTTTCAGGTATATGAAATCCCTCCAATACTAGATCTCAATTGCTCAGAACAATCTTAGTAAAGAAAAAAAAAAAAAAGAAAAAAAAGAAAAAAAAGAAAAAAAACCGTTATACATTATAATCGTAAAATCGAAGCAACGAAGACGCGCGGCTACGTCGCGTCTGCCAATTGCTGATCGTGAATGTCATCGAAAGAATGGGGAGAGAGAGAGAGAGAGAGAGAGAGAGAGTCCTTTTTCCAAGAAGAAAGAAAGGGCACACGAGTCGACGAGATACGCCAGTACGATTATGGTAATTTGCTTTTTTCCGTGCAATCGAATGGAAAGCAGTGTCTCGTGAATTGCTCTTGGTCTAGTAGCTTTCTGCGAGATGTAGCCAACTATTAATTTGGTTGAATTAAAATACGAGAGATACTTTCGCGGGATTATGTAAATTTATTGCGCGATTTATATCAATTTTTACTCGAGTTACTTCTCAGACCATATATTTCCACGTTATTGTACGTAATGCAGCTATTAACTCTATTTGAAATTAAAATCAGTTGCATGAGAACGAAAGACGTGATTCAGTAAAAAAAAAGAGAAATTGCAATGTCGTACGGCGATTCTCCTTGTAATATCCACCTAAGTGTAAATCCACTGCGCCCGATATAAAACGTTTACTCATGAGATTGTCGTCGTGAGCCGTTTACGCCGTAAGGGAGATAATTAAAGAAACCAAAAAACCAAAAAACCAAAAAAAAAAAAAAAAGGAAACGTTGCGCACACTCGCGAAAAATCGTGACAGACCACGAAACGGCGCGACTCGTCACACGGTTCTTCGTAATTTCTAGAAACGAGTACTGCTTCATCAGGACCAGAAGAAAACACCCTTTGTACTCGGTCTTCGTTCGTCAGAATTTCACAGTTCGTAAACAATTGTTCAAGCACAAAAAAAAAAAAACACAGAGCCTTTGGAACTTTTCAAACTGTTCAGCTGTATCGATCTTCAGCGTCCCCGTCTCTCCGTTGATTTTTCTTACGCTCTTAAAGCTCTGTTGCTGTTTTCACGATCAAGTCGGACTATCGAGTGGACTGGAAGCGAAAAGAAAGTCTCGCCGCTGCCATGACCGATTTCTTCGTTACATTTTATCTTCGATGTTTGAAATATACGAACGTGACGCGAAGCGTTCGTCGCATCGTGTGTAATTGGATAATCAATAATCAGTTCGAAAAGAGAAACGTTGTCGAGTAAAGATTCTTAAAAAAAAAAAAACTAATAATAATAAAACGAACGCTTCTTCTTCGCTCGCCAGTCCCCGTTGATTCACCAAAAGCCGTCGTTCGTCGCACACACTCGTACCGTATACCGTTTTCCTAATCTATTTGTAATATTTCAAAGGATCGTGTCATTATACGAACGATCTCGTTTTTTCGACGCGAGGGAGACGCGTCTCTTGCGACGTCGTCTGTTTTCTTGCTGTGCGTCGTCTCACTTGGCGTTCTCGCGTTTCACGCTGATAAATAAAGAAAAAAAAAAAAGGGAGACGGTGCCACGTGTCAAGAAACGACGAATTTTCGCTGCGTTTCAGCCGGTTCGTCGATCGATAGGAAGGAATGTGGGAAAAGGGTGGAAAGGAGGACACGACGAGGACACGAGGCTGAACGAAACCGAAGGGTTCGAATGCGACTCTGCTCGGAGGAATTTTCATTGCTGTCCTATTGTTTGCTCAATTGTACCGTCGTTGCGTATTAACTGTACGTTTGAACGCGCGAGTTACCGATTTTTGTACTCTCAACCTACACGCTCCACCCTCCCTCCCCCCTCCCTCGTAAGTAACGTTAAGTTTTTAACCCGGATCAAGACGATTGATCGAGGATTGATCGAAATCTATCGGCGGGAGAATGTCGAGAGATTTCAGAAACACGCCCGTTACCGTTAACAAAGAGAAAAAGAGAAGAAACGAGGGTCGTGAATTTTCTGTCGTTGTTGGAAAATTAACTCGGTCGATTTCTGGAGGGTGTGCTCCTTTATGGAAGCTTTTTTTTTTCTTTTTTTTACGAAATTTTCCTCGGTTGGGAAATTTCGAAAGAGACGCGTACGAACGGACTCGAAATTCCCTCGCGCTGCGAGTTCGCGTGAGAAACTCGGTAACGGCCGAACTGATCGAGAGATTAATGGATCGGAAGGTCCTCTTCATCCCCCTCCCTCCTCCCCCCCCCTCCCCTCCTCCCCCCGGGAGAGACGTTCGTTACTTTTCGCTGTTAGTCGCCGAGCTACGAGAGACCTTTTTCGTCTTTTTGATATCGTCTTTTAGCGACCGTGATAACGGCCGAACAGGAACGGGTTCTTCCTCGAAACGCGAGCGTTGTTTTGTCTTCGTTAGGCCGGAAATCGAGGAAAGAATCGGGCATTTCCCAAATCGATCGATCGCGATACTTTTTCTCCGGATATGTTGCACGATCGTCGGAACGTTTCGACAGGCCTCGTCGCTGTACTCGTTCGACGAGAACGATCGTTAAACAGTAAATCGGAACGACATGTTCGCGGCGAAACGATCGTCGATCGAACGTTTGTAGGTTTGGGGGACGAATGAAAAAGAATAGACAACAGGAGATAAGAAAGAAACGAGACAGAGAGAAAGCAAGAGAGAGAGAGGAACTAAATCGATGGAGAACATTTGTAGTTGCGGAAACGCAACGTAAAATGAACAAGTAACAACAATGTATACACTATACATAATATATGGATGCATATGAAAAGTGAATAAATCTACGTATACATAAATGAGATAGATTAATAAAAAAAAAAAAACGATGCAGCGTCTCCTGGTTGTTATTATTATTACCATTGTGTATGAATTCTCTGTGTTTTGTTCTTTTTTTTTTTTTAATCTTTCTATGAAATTGAAATTAACGTTTGCTCGATGTAAACTTAGAGGTTTAAATTTCTAATATTTTCTTTGCAGGTCCTTCTCCCGAATGATCAAATTTTAGATACTTCAGATTTCTTTCGCGGATTAATAAATAGAAACGCTCTTGTTGTTGTGGTTGGTGTATTTTTATTCGATTAAAATAACAGACCAAAGCACATCAGAGTCTCGATCAAAAAGGGAAAGACAATGCGTTACTTTGAGAGATACACGTGCAGGGGCGGGGAAAGATATTCGCGTCGAAAAAGAAAAAAAGATAACAATTTTGTTTAATTAATTACTCGAAAAGGTGGGCGGAGAAATAGTTGTGGTAAACGTGCGAGACAACCAGCCATGCAGGTGTATCTTCGTACTCTGAACGAGAGAAAATAATATTCAAAGTCGTAATAAAATACATAAGCTAGTCGCTAGTACGCAAATCGATAAAATCCGTAACCCTTCGCCGTGGGGAAATCTGGAAATAAAGTTTCACGAGGCTCGAGTGTCCTCTGGAGTAAAAAAAAAAAAAAATGGAAAAAAAATATACCTTACAAAAATAGCGAATTTTAAAATAAAAATTGAAAGACCTAATTGCTGTTAAAAAGCTGCGTACAACGCTTTACGCGCAAATTTGTTCCTTAACGCTAGAACTACCGAAATAATCAAAATGATCGATGATTTTTGTCGGAAATTTTGTAGATGTGGAACAGTGTATTTCTGGCGATTGAAATAATTTTTTTTAATATTAAAATGCATAAATGAAAGCTTGCCATCTCTTTCACTTTACCGTCTCTAATGGAAATTTTACATTTCAATCGGTCGTTCTAGCGTTGAAACGAGCTATAAAAACAAGATCAACTTGAAACATTCTAAACATACCTTCTAAATGTACCTTCTTTCTAGGCACCTGGTCCTAGCTATTAATTTTTTCTTTTCTTTTTTTTTTTTTTAATTATTTCATTCTTTTCTTTTTCCATTTTTATTTCGCGAATATTTGACACTCTTGTGCCGCCACAAGTATTTTCATTCATTTGCGTACGGAATGTACAAAATGTAATTCAATCAGTCTGTATACATAATTTTGTCGACACAATTTACGATAAAAATGGCGACACAAAAATCTCGCGTATTCGCGCGATGATTGTCCCGAAACGAAATATCTCCTTTTCTTTTATATAAATATTTTTTTTCTTTTTAAAATTTTGGAGGACCTGAATCGTCGAATTATCCCAGATAATTGCCGACACTTTCAGCCATCTCGTTCATAGGGCTGACATCTCTCTGAACGTGTTCGTCGAAATTAACGGTCTCCTCCTCTTCGGTAGAAATGTCTGCATTCGTTTCCACAGCGCCCTCACCGCCCCGGATGGTTTTCTGTTGACTTTCCGACGAAGCTTGGCCTAGAAAAGACAAGTTTTTCCTCTCCAGCGTGTTATCGATCTAAATTACAACCGTGCCAGTATCCTTTCGTACGTTTGCAACGTCACATTGGCACAGAATTTCACTCAGCGTATTTCAGACTATTTTAACACTAAAACTAAGCAAAATGGTCGAAATGACCAATCGATAATTTTCGTTTGTCATGTTGGATATAAAATTTCATAGACAAAAAATATTGTGCACTTTTGGAGACTCGAATAATTCTTCGTAAAATACATGAATAAAAGCTCGTGCACCCTATTTATATAAGTATTGTAAAGATTTCCTCGCCTCTGACGGGGATTTTACGCTTTTAGTCGTCGTTATGCGTTAGTTCTAGCGTTGACAACTTTCTGCGTTTATTTGAAAACTACGAGAATTAGTGATTCTAGGTAACCTTGGCCGAGATCTCGCGCCTTGCCGTGATAAGAGTATTCCCGCGCATTGGCAAGGCCGGCGATAACGCAGGCACTTAACGCACTTCGATTCAGATTCATCGGCGACGCGTCGTACCACTCGTTGCTGTCCGCGTCGTAACACTCCGCGTACGCAATCGTCGTGGAACCTTTCGGAATAAAATTGCACTTTCATTTCAAAGACCCTCGGTTAGACCACTAGCCACAAACTAAATTTTGAATGGGAAATAGGTCGCGAGAGTTTGAGTTTCTCTGTTTGCGATGTGTTTCAACGCATCGCAACGAAGAGAGAGAATTTTCGTTCTGTCATTGTTCTATTCTATCGTCTGTTATTATACATAGGATAGTCACTGAAAGGCTGATTGATATAAAACAAAGATAACTTTCACAAACACATGCTTCTTTAATATTATTCTTAATATAATTCTTTATTATCATTTATTATTTTATATTTTATTTATATATACTTTATTATTTATTATTATACATTTCATTTATATATTATTGTTGTTATTATTATTATTATTATTATTATTTTATTTTGGAGATATAATTAATGGATTTTGTTCAGTATTTTTTTTTCTATAATCGACAAAAAAAGAAAGTAAAAAAAAAGAAATAATTGAAAACAAGTTGTGACTTTTTCAAACCCTTCAGCGTTTCAGTGGCCACCCTGTATATTATATCATAATGTTTCAATGACGAAAATTCGTAGTAATAGTCTGAGTTTGTTGAGGTTACCATTGAAACCACCGACGACGAATATCATGTCGTCTAGAATGACCGTGGCGAAATTGCTGCGGGGGCTGAACATCTCCGGAACCGCGTGCCAATCCTCCGAGTTCGGATTGTAACGCTCCCCTGCGAGATCGATATATTGCAACAGGGACATTAATTTCTACGCGGCGTAAGATTTCTACGTGCAACGTGCGAACATTTTGAAAATTTTCAAAGAGGAATTTTCACAAATAGCGCGCACGTTACACGAATATTTGGAATATTTCGGAAATATCAATTACGTATTATTAGTTACGTCATTGGTTCGTTATTGGAACAAAAATAAAAAAAAAACATGGAGGATTCAGTGCAGTCGTTTTGCCTGCAATAATGTGTATCGCTATTTTTTCCCAGTTTTTACAAAACTAAAGGATACAGTTATAAAGTGTAATAAATAAATAAATATATATATATATATATATAAAATAAAATATAATAAATAATAATTAAAAAATACAATTATAAAACTGAACGATATTCTACAACTATTGTATTGAGGCTTCAAATTTCATGCGCACTAAATTACCAATATTTCGAAAAATTATTTAGACTGTTACATTACTTCGTAACAAGAAATCATGTAGCAATGAGGCACGAAAAACTTTCGTTTTTATATTTCGTGTTGGACTCGTTTTTCGCAAAAAATGTTTTTGCGTCGTTTGGCAAACGAGGAAATTAAATTCAAAAAGTTTCTCAAAGCGTTGAAACAGTAAAAAATTTTACCTTCGTGGCGAGTGGAATACAATGCAAAAAGAAAAAAGAAAAAAAAAAAAGAATTTACCCTGCCAAATTCAAACTCGAAGAACTGTAGAATTCAATTTCGACACAGATCGAAAGTATTTACTACCAAAGAACGATTTGTTGCTGATTGTAACGCGTATATATGGTATCAAAATTACCCGAGTTGAGCCTGATGATGCCGTTGAAGCCGCCCAGTGCGTAAAGGCTGTCGCGAAACGCGACCAGAGACACGCCTGATCGTGGATTGATCATCGGGTGGATGTAGGTCCACTGGTTGGACTCGACGTCGAACACCTCCGCGGAATTTAGAACCTCGCGGCCGCTGAAACCGCCGACGATGTATATCTTGTCGTGCAGGGCTGCCGCGCTCGCGTCCGATCGTTGCTGGTGCATCGGCGGTATCATTTCCCATTGATTCTTTTGCGGCTCGTATCTCTCCCCGGAGCTCATCCTGGTACGGCCGTTGTAACCACCGAGTGCGTATATCTTTCCACCTGACCAAGGAGAACGAGTCGTGTCGCTCATGCACGTGGTTCGTTTTAATAATCGAGCGTCCGAACGCGTTCGTTCGTCTATTGCTAAATAGCTGCGATGGACTCGAGGGTGCTTCGATTATATTAAATTGGATTAGACCGGAAGGTTTCTTCTTTCCGATTTCTATCATATTACGAATTTATCTCTATGTATAATAGAAATGTATCTATTTCTATTATAATAATAGATATATGTCTATTTGTACTATTATTCATATTATATTAGATATATATATATCTATTTCTATTATTATTTATATTACATTAGATATATATCTATTTCTGTTATTATTTATATTACATTAGATATATATCTATTTCTATTATTATTTATATTATATTAGATATATATCTATTTCTGTTATTATTTATATTATATTGAATATATACCTATTTCTATTATTATTTATATTATATTAGATATATATATCTATTTCTATTTTTATTTATATTACATTAGGTATATATCTATTTCTATTATTATTTATATTACATTAGATATATATCTATTTCTATTATTATTTATATTATATTAGATATATATCTATTTGTTATTATTTATATTATATTAAATATATACCTATTTCTATTATTATTTATATTATATTAGATATATATATCTATTTCTATTTTTATTTATATTACATTAGGTATATATCTATTTCTATTATTATTTATATTATATTAGATATATATCTATTTCTGTTATTATTTATATTATATTAGATATATATCTATTTCTAGTATAATAATAATAATATATATATATATATATATATATTTTTATTATAATAATAGATGTACATCTATTTCTATTTATATTACACATGTGACAAATTCTGTAACATTTCGTAATTTGGTAATATTATAAATATTTTTCAGACAGATATCTTTCAGATATCAATTGGGTTGCAAACAAGACACTGTTGAGACTCATTAATTATCATTTTCATTTGACCATTGTCATTGTCAATTAATTAATTCATCGATAAACCACACTGTTATGTAGTGTTGTGACGCTGCAAATAGAATTCAACAATGAAAATTAACATCGTCGATGTTGCAACGCTCGACGAAATAAAAAGACGGTTAACGTGAAAACAAGCATTGAAAACATGTGAAGTATAAAAGTATAAAAGTGAAAATAAAGCAAATGAGAGACAAAATAAAACAAATGATAAACAATAAAATCCGATTAGATTACAAACTTCGAAATTAAATTAATTTCGTTGGAAACTATCGTTCGTCCTCTTGACGCCCACGTTTGTCGATGAACTGGGAAGAACGTGCAAAGGTTATAAGCCTGGATGGGAACAATCCGAGTGTCGTTGCAAGTGTAAGTTCATCGTCCTGAAAGACGGTGGAGAAACTAACCGTGGGTGCAAACGCTGACGTAACACCTCGCGTGATGCATGCAGGCCCGTTCACGCCATTCCCTCGTTACCGGATCGAAGCACCTGACCGTGCTGAAGTGCTGGTTACCGTCGAACCCGCCGATCATGTAGATCAAATTGTTCAACGTGCACAGGCCGTGGTAGGATCTCGGCGTGGCGTCCGTGCTCACTGATAGAAACCATCTGTCAACTCTGGAGTTCACATTACACACGAATCCTGTGTGAGTCTCGGGCCGGTCCACGACGATGTTATACTTTTTTCGTCCCGCGGATATCAACGAGATATACGAGAGGAACAATTTATTATAGCGTCATCCGTGAGTAATCAATTATTCTGCATTTGTTGGAGACTGCATCGCGTCTAAAAAAAAAAAAAAAAAAAAAAAAACTGTCCTCTTTCCAAACAGTTTGCAAATGCAGTTGTTGTTATTACTCAACTGTTCTCCAAGTATAAAAAAAAAAAAATAGTCTCTACGATCGATGCAGAATCAACGAGCAAGTGAAGCTCCGTAAACAAAAATTAATTACTCGTGGCTACACCTGATATTTGCCTCGAGACGTTCGAGAACACATCGGTCGATGATTATCTTTCGGCGAACGTAATGAAACTACTATCCGGACGAATGGACGATTGTGTATGCAATTTGCGATCTGTTTTGTTCGCCGAGTTTCGCTTGTCGCGACGAATGAAATTCCAGCGTGACGAATGAAAGCTAGCGTTTCGCGGGAAAGCTTTTCTGAGGAAAAGTGAGCGGAACCTCGTGTCGTAGGTTTCTACGAAATTCGTTGGAGAACCGGCGCTCCATCCGCCGATCGCGAACAGGATCTCGTAGGGGATACGAGGCTTGGCCAGTGGATTGTTCAAATCGATCTCGCCGCTGCCCGGAAGCTTCGCTTCCTGCTCTTTCAGGTACTGATTAGCGGGAGCTAGCACTTGCTGGCAGGACTTGAAACGACGGAGAATGATAATGAAAATGTGTGAGAAGCGACAATAAGAGACGAAGATTCCTTTCGTGGGATTCGAAGGAACGAATGGATCGTTCGATCGATCGAGCGGGGAGCACTCACCTCGTCCTCCTCGACGATCTTCCACGTGAGGACATTGTTCGTGAAGAAGTTGTAGTTCATCAAACCGTAGCGCACACACTTCAACAGCCCGGGTAAATACGGCCTCTTTTCTTCGACGTTGTGCTCGAGCCAGGTTTTAATGGCCTCGAAAACTATTTCCTCGTTTTTAACGTTCAGCTCGTCGTCGCACAGAATCGCTTTGAGCTCCTTGCTCGTCAGCTCTTCGAATTCAGGGCTCTCCTGCAGTATCCGCTTAAAGTGATGGCAAATGTATTTCCGGCCCTTCTCTTCCAGGTCGCGGCAGAAATAGTGGCGGGCGAAGTTGAAGATGCCTGCCGGGTGCGGTGGAAATTTCTCAGTAAATTGATTCCGTGTCGAAGAAGAAAGAAAAAACGAGAAATATTCAACGCGCTTCTGGTGGGAAGCTCGAGACGTGAAAAAAAAAAGATCTTCGCGCGACGATTTTACCGGGGAGGTTAACGTTGTTGGCTGGAAATGAACGAAGAGAAATGTCGTTTAAATGTCTATTAACCCAAGCAATTCTCCGGCCGAAGTTCCTGCAGAAGGAACTGACAGCAGAGTTGAACGACACCGAGCACCTCGAACTGATCGGCCAATGGTAACAGCTGCTCGACGTTGTCGGCGTTCACGTTGCACGTGCCGGTGTAGGCGTAGTCGAGGATCAGGCTGAAAATTCGCCCAGGCACCGACTCGATCGCCACCTCCGTGATCTCCGTTTTCCCGACTTTCAGGCTGTTGGTGAAAAGCGCTTTGAAGTAAGGGCTGACCGCGGACAAAATGGCCCGATGCACCGGGAAAACCTGGCCCGTGGCGCATCTTATCGCACCGTCGCACAGCTGCTGGTTCGCTCTGAAATCAATCGCCGCGCGTGTTTTCAGAAAGGACATCGAGGAGAAGAAAATCACTCGACGAGAATTTTCTAAATTTGACTAAAATTACCGAAATGGCCAATGCGTTAATATTTTATACAAATAGTAGACTTGTGATTACAGTTTGCTATTTTTTTTTTCTTATTCCCTTCTATCCTTGATAGAAATCCTGTGCCGACAGACACATAAATTCGACACTAAAACATCGAACAAACAAAGAAAGAAAAAGAACAGAAAATAATCGAAACGTTCAACGAGAAATGTCACGAGCGTTTATCTAGCTAATGAAAACATCCTACGAGAGCGTACGGTGATGGAAAGAGCGAAGGGTGCCAGCTGGTAGGGGGGAGGGAATGGACAAACCTAAGCTCGGACCAGACCACGGGGAACTCAACGAGGGCGTAATTGGATGGCAGACACATGCACTTCCTTATTTTGGCCGGCTGCTTTCTGACGCAGTGCCTCAGCTTGGTAGCGGAAACGGCGGCCCGCGACATCAGGCTGCGTGACAGCTTCTTAAGCTTGATCCTTCCGCGGCCGTCCATCGCCTCGCGGACCAGCCACGCGATCCCCGCGTCGCTGGCCACCATGTGACCCGACCTTACCACCGCGTACCGCGACACCTTCCTCTTCTTCTTCGTCCACCGCTCTGTATTCGTTATGGTTAGCGATGCGAGCCCCGGCAAACCGGAGAGTCGCGGCCATGACAGAGGAACACCGACTTCACCGTTCAACTGATCGAGATCGGCCCGTCCACCTCTCGATTCTCGGCCACGTTCGCGAGACTCGCCTCTCGTTTCTTTCGTCGGTGTGTCTCTTTGGAAAATTGCTCGATTTTTCATCGTGTTACGATGAATATAGTCTATATGTAGGGGCGAATCTGCAACGTGCGACTCCCCGAACGCTCGATTAACCCCTTGCACGCAGCCCTGAACGAGGGACGTGGCGTACGAAATAGTAGTAGGGTGTAACGATCGTGCAATCTGGCTGTTACCAGACTTGGTTATTCCAATTTGCCTTTCAAAAATCCAACGCACGTCCATTCTGAACGAAAGCTTCTGAAAGCTTCTGAAAGCAGCTTGAGAAATCATCCTCTTCGGAGCAGACAACATTTCATGTTCGACGCGCCTAAAATCATTCTTTTCTTCTTTTTTTTTTTTTTTTTTTTTTTAAGGAAAGTGAGTGGAGAAGAAGAAACGGTGGCCGTGGGTCAGGTGTGGCGACAGGGCGGGGTCGTTGCCGATATATCGGGCCAGGTACCGTGGCCTCGAAACAAAAAGCCACCACGGTCGAAGGTTAAGGGCTTTGCGAGGGCGAGGGCGAGGACGCAGGCAAAGATAGAGAGAAAGCGAGAGAACGAGAAAGCATGTGCGTGCATGAGTGCGTGGTGGCGGCGGCGGCGGCGGCGGCTCACGTAAAAGTCACGTGGCAGGCGACCGCCGCCAATCAATATCGAGGCAGTGTCGGGTGTGTGCGTTCGCTGGGAGGGCGAGTGAAAGCCGGCGGAGCTGAGAGCGAGCCAGTGCGTCCGCGGCCGTCAACCACACCTTGTCGGGGTGAACCAGCTCGCAAATAAAGAGAGAGAGAGAGAGAGAAAGAGAGAGAGAGACGCGCGCACATCCACCCCTCGAGAAGCACCCCTCGGCCGTGGTTGCCGCCGTTCCATCGGCCGTTTCGCTTTCGACGCGGTCTGCCTGTTGCGGGACGGCTGACTCGTCGAAGCAAGGATTCTCAAGTGCAAGGTACAAGGATAGTTTCGCAAAAATCCGAAGTTTTTCCCTTTTGAATGGAACCTACGGTGGCTGGGGAGTTCCTTCGAATTCCTTCGTCGTGCTTCAAGTTCCCTCGGATCACCCACGGTGGAATCGCGATGCGTTTTTAATTACACTTTCATTGAAGTTTGAACAGTGAGAATACGAGTTTTGAAATGAAAGGTTCGGTGAGACGTTTGATGATGGAGCGGTGCGTGGCAGATTATCGGGTTATTGCATTCGGAGGATAGGATTATTGCAGTTGAGGTCTCTGTTAATTTGTATTCCCTGAAAGCGAAGACTGCAAAATCGATGCATCCTGCAGTTTCGAAGGTTGGGGGTAAAAGTGAATCGTCGTCGGTGAGGGTAAAAGTGAATTTCGATTAGTCTAGTTTTCTAGTTCAAAGTCGTTGGAGTTGGAAATGTAGATACAGTTGTAAAAATGGAGAGTCGAGGTTGCATTTCTTCCCTTTCTCAAGATGCAAATCCTAGTAATACGTGTCTCTTTGTTATTCGTTTAGAGTACAACTTTATACAATAATAATTTCGCAAAATTTTCAATTGTGAAGTTTGATTAAAAATCGTTCACAGTATCGTGAACATTCATTTTTTGGATTTTCAGAAATCTCGAAGTATTTAGAAATCCAGGAAAAATCGTGCATTAAATATTTATAAATTGAAGAAGATACTTAAAAGAAGAGTGTAGAAACATTCGCTTAGTTAGTGCTGAATAACGAGTAAAAAGAACGTATTTTCCAAAATTTTTCCCGCAATATGTTTACGAGGAGCAAGCAACATTATTTCACCACGATGTACGCATCACGCTCGTAAAGGTCAATTTCGCAAAATCCAATTCGAGTTGACTGATCAATTTCCTTTTCCGAGTGATGGAGAAAACGTTCGCGAAATGTGTAACAAACGTACAATTTAAAGTGTATGTTTCGAGTTGAAAATTGAAATGCCGCATTATCTGCGGTTCCACGAATGCGTATCTCTTCTCCTTCTCTTTTATCTTATCGCCTTAACATTCTGTTAGAATGATAGGAGCTAACATTTCCAGTGCTTCGTTCATTAAATTCGTTAGATCGTTACGCGGCAAAGTATACGGCAGAAAATAAAAATCCCCCCGTGCACATTTTATCACTCTTGTCGCGCAAAGCTATTTATCCTAGTCAAGCTTCTTGTCCGATCCCCTCGTTATTATATCATATCAAGAAGAACAAAGAACTCCCCAAATTTCGCTCGTTGTATCACGAAATTTCACAGTGATCGCATTTACAGTGTTCTTGCAGTAAATTTGCAAGTGTCCGAATGCCTCTACACGCGCGCCGTGGATAAAAGAACAGTGGGTGGCGGGAGGGGTCGAGAGGGGAGAGGAGAGAGAGAGACTTAATGGTGGTCGAGTGTTTTCGAGGAGATAGGCGTAGGTGAAAGTGGAGAGGAGATGCGTGCCAGGCTCTGTCGGCGGTTCTCCAGAGCCGGATATCGAGCGATCGAGCTCCTCGTGAATTTTTTAGATCGGACCTTTTTGATGCTCACCGAGCGAAAACCCGGTGTTCGTAGGTTTATCTACGGTTGGCAGGCACACACGAGCTGGCTCGTGTCACGGCCGTCTGCAATATTAAACGAAGCCGCGTGATGCTCGTGTTTCTCTCTTTCTCTGTCGCGCGTGCACGCGAAAGAGAGACGGTTGATTCAGAGAGGGTGTGTTTGGGGATGCGTTTGAAATCCTCCACTCCGTCCGCGTGAAATTCCTCTTCCTACATCCGCTCTCTTCCTTCGTTTTTTTTTTTTTTTTTTCTTCTTTTCTATCACTCCGTTCCATTCCTACCATTCTGCTTTGCCTGTTTATTTTGCGTTAGGCGTTTTCCTTTTACCTCGTACTCTTTTCTCGCGCGCTCGCACGGCGGAAAGTCAGCCGCTGAATTTTTCGTGCGGATATTTCGAGATCCGCTTTTTTTCTTGGTTTTTTTTCTTACGAAGGTTCAAAGTTCCACGATAGTGGAAGTTTGTTTCACTCAGTCATAAATATTCTTTCGATACTCTGGCAGTTTAATGAGACGCGAGTTGCACCTTTTCTGCATTCTGTTTGAGGCTCTCGACGAATTTTCGTGTTTCGCGGTTCATAAGAAAGAGCTGTAGTTGACACAATGTATTTATTTCCATTGTGTAAATTACAGAGAGAGGATAACATCTCTGATTCACGGGAAAGGAACCAAATGATTTTTGCGTTTGAAGTTTGCTTGAAAGAATCATTAAAATTACGACCATGTTACTGAATTGATCTTCACGATTGATCACAGTGAAATCTCCAATTCGAGCCTCTAACGTCTACTAATCTAATTACACTCGTACTGTTCGCGTGACGAGTGTCAAGTTTCAAATATTTTAAAATGCAGATGATACGAGTGAACGTTTGAAGAATACAAAGTGTAGAATTATACAGGGCGATTCACGAGTAACTTGCAATAGATTATGCGTCTAACGAACAATTGTTTGATACAAAAGGTGCGTGATTTTCAAGGTCGTCTTTATTTCCTTTTAATTAGACGAGATATTTTTCTCGCCATAAATCGAAAGAATATTAATTTCCAAGTAGAAAAGTATTTGTCCTAACTCTAATAGTTAAGGAGATACTTTATGAACGTTAATATGTGGCAAACAATTTTCATCTTCGAGAAATTATCGTAAAATATCTTCTTAACTATTAGGTTCAGGAGCAATTTGATACTTTTCTTTTTTTACTTGGAATTTAATATTCTCTCGATTTGTGTGTGGTCCAGTTGGAAAGAATAAAGACGACCTTGAAAATTTCGAAATCCTCAAACAATTGATACGCCATATTTTTCTTCCCTTAAAACCATACAACTTTTGTATTGCACAATTTTTCATTAGACGAGTAATTTAAAAATTGCTTCACGTGTGAATCACCCTGTATATTCGATCCTTTGAAATATCGAATTCGTCGAATCCTACTGTGATTCTCGAGGAATTCTCAAAAATCAAAATCTGTTAATTTAATTTAACCTTCCTTTTCGAAGCGCTGGACATCACAGTTTTTTGGAGGGGAAAGAAAAAAGAAAAAAGAAAAAAATATCTAAACGTCGCGTGATCGATCATTACGAACGGCGTGGTTTCGTCGTGCAGCGGGGTTCGATAGACGGCATGACGGGAGTCTGGCGTCGAAGCGTGTGTGGTAAACTCGTACGAAGCGGATTCAGTGAGTCACGGCGGCTTTATTTCCGAACGAGCATCCCCCCATCGCCGGGAAGTCGAGTACGAAATACAGTAGTTATAACGAGGATGGTGAAAATTCGATTTCGCCCGTGCGGCGACCGGTCACACGTCGCAGCAGACCGGAAGTCGTTTGCGAAATCCGATCCGGTTCCTACGAATTTCCTTGCAAAATGTTCGATTGTTCGGAGGAAGATTATATTCGTGATTATTCAGAGAGAATAATTGCTTAGACACTAGCTAATACAGTTTTTATCAATTAAAACCAAACGTGACACAATAAATTAAAAGAAATAATAAAATTAATTTAAAAATAATAAATAATAATAAATAATAATAAATAAAAATAATAAATAATAATAAATAAAAATAATAAATAATAATAAATAAATATAATAAATAATAATAAATATAAAAAAAATAAAATCACTTTTTTACGTAAACGAATGTCGGCTCAAATAATTTCTGCCAATGCGAAAGATTCACTTTCATGAAAAAAAAAAAATCGAGGATATCACGTTTTTTCATTTACAGACGGACAATTGACAAGGGTCTGTGGAAGATGGACGTGAAAGGGCGAGTTGCCCTGGTGACGGGCGCCGCTTCCGGTATTGGTAAATCCTGTGCCGTGGAATTATTGAATGAAGGCGCGATGGTGAGTGAAAAAAAGGGAAAAAAGCAAGTAAAATTCAATCAATCTAGAAAGCAGTGTTTTCCCAGCCAGTGCAAAAATTCCGAATGTACAAATAGTTAGCAAAGTCGAGTCGATGCGCGACGATGTACCAGCGTCGGGAAAGAAACTCGTGAAAGAAAATTTCACATCGCTAAATCCTCCTCGTTAAAGGAAAGTTACGATATTATACTTACGCTGTAGCTAATAAAAAGGCTGTATTAATAGAGGGATAAGAAGAAGAGGCGCTATAGTCGCGAAATCTCCTTAAGGATGTAACCTTGATTTAGTATATCGTCCCCTTGGACGTTTCGGCGCTTCGTGCCTAAAAATATCGCGCGTATATTTAGACGACTCCTCGACGAAAGAGCTTTATCTCAGCTTCTCTCGGCTGACTCCTACGGAATAATAATTTTAACGTTGACAACAGCGACGACTCGTTTTATCGTGCGTTACGTGTAAACAAGATAGTACCTTTGCAACTTGTCTCGCGCAATTCGAGATTTCGTTCGAGAATTGACGTGACTTTAATTTACGCAGGTGTCTATATGCGACATAAACACAGTGGAGGGTGAGAAATTGGCGGAAACGTTGTCCACGGAGTACGGGAAAGATCGCGTGATCTTCTGCCAGTGTGATGTCACGGACTATTCGCAATTTGAGGGTAAAGATTCCTGTAAAAGTACAAAAACAACTATTCTGAATCAAAACTCTAAAACTGTCCAGTATCCGTAACGTAATGAAAATACAGTCATAATGATAATAATTGTCGATTAAATTCAATAATGTAAATTTAATTTCCACGTACGTTCGATCTCAATCTCGCAGAATCGTTTCAAACGACATTCGCGACGTTCGGCCACATCGATATCGTTGTTAACAACGCTGGGATCATGAACGACCGGTTTTGGGAGCTCGAGGTGGACATCAACGTGGTGAGCATTTGTTAAACTGTTCCCTTCAAACTGAAGAACCGCGCGTGAATAATTTCTTTTGTGGAAATTATCGCAGAACGGCGTGATCCGTGGAACTCTGCTCGCTCAGCGGTATATGGGGACGGACAGGGGCGGCCAGGGCGGAATAGTGGTTAATATTGGAAGCAACGTCAGCATCAACCCTTACGCCAGTGTTCCAATTTACTCGGCCACCAAGGCGGCAATCGTCAATTTCACCAGAGCCTTCGGGGTAAGTAAAGCCGGCGTTTTTCTTGTTTCGTAATAATCGATGAGAGAGAAAAAAAAAGAAAAAAAAAATGACAAATCTGTGAGGTGGGAAATCGTCGAAATACGTAAATATTTCCGCGAAAACAGAAAAACTTTCGTTCTCCGCGAGATTCGAGCTCTCTGCGAAATCTGACCCTTTTTTTTTTTGATGAAAATTCAAATCATTCAATTTGAAATTCATTTGGGAATCGGTTTGGCGTATGTATTGTTGTTGTTTGGCCCTTAGCACCAGTATCACGTGGATCTAACCGGCGTGAAGGTGATGGCGTTGTGTCCAAGTGCGACCGATAGCAAGTTGTTGGAAGACGTCGGTAAACAGTTGCTTTGGCCCCGGTACGTAGACGCTTGGCTTCGCGACGTCGCCAGTTCAGTTCCTCAAAGGTAACGGTAATTTAAATACTATTAAATAATAAATAATAATTAATTAATATATATATATATTTAAATACTATTAAATATATAAATATTAATATATATAATATAAATATAATAAATATAATAATGTAAATATATAATTATTATTAAATATTATTAAATATTGTAAGTCGTTAGAATATTTGATAACCAAGTTGCTTCATCAAATAGAAAAATAATCGTTATACATTAACAATGTTCTCGAATAACCAACGAATTGTAATAACCTTTCTTGAAATTTTAAACATTAGGAACAATTCGTTGCTGTTGTTCAGCTGTTTCATCATGATAGAAAAATAGTCTTAAACATTAGAAATAATTCCTTGCTATCAATTGTTGCTTTTGTCAAATAGAAAAATAATCTCGCCGTGATACGTTGATATTAACAATATTCTTTCTCGAATGACAAACGAATTGTTCATTTTAATACATCTATCTTGAAACTTTAAACAATTAGAGACAATTCTTTGCTATTATTCAGTCTTTTTTTATTATATTACATTATATTATTATATAATATTGTTCTTTATTATATTTTATTTATTATATTATATTATTATATAATATTATTCTTTATTATATTTTATTTATTATATTATATTATATTATATTCTTTATTATATTACATTAACATTTATATCATGTTCTTTACGTTATTGTAATTAATACTATCATTATATATAATATATTTCATGTTATTTATAACATTCTACATTATATTAACGTAAATTTTATATCAACATTTCACGGTGAAGAATGGAATCACGCGGAAATAGCTGCTACAGCTTTATAAATACACGCACGATCGATAGCTACATGTCATACGCGATGAAAAGCACCGTAGAATTCTTCTACGATTTCTCGCAAGACTTTTCAACAAGCATCATGAACGCCAAAGTACAAAAATAACGATTCGATATTTCAAATCTCTTACAGTGGAAATTCAACGAACGAAAGCTTCAACGATCGCCTCAGACTTACGAGACGTTTCGACGTTTTTTTTATTTCAGATCGGAGCACGTGGCTAAATCATTGATCGAGATCCTAAACACAGGGAAGAGCGGAAGCGTCTGGATGGTCGAGAAGGATCAGCCACCTCACGAGATCACGTTCCCGAAAAACTAAGCCGTCGCCATCGTCCCGCGTGAATTCTTTCTCGCTTGAACGCAGACAAATGTGCCGTACCATAAGTTCTTCACCGTAACCGATACCATAAATTCACAAATCACCGAACAACGAGTCGCGCTCTCTCTCTCTCTTTTTCTTACCAACGTTTCCAGAGAAAGAGAAGAGAAAGAACTCGAGTAGAAATTTCTTGGATCTCGCTGTTAATTCGAATATCTCGCGAGAAATCATCTTCGAGGATCTAACGACAGGATCTAAGTTAGAGGAATCCATGAATCGATCGTTGAGAGAGCGTGTGATACTGCGCTCGAAGATGAAAATCAGGATTGTAACAGAGCAACATCAGACGTGTTGCCAAAGATTATGGAATACAATTTGCACGCGTCTACGTAGGTTGTTGTGCGTTCCTGTAGGTAGGTCTAGAGAGAACACAGTTGAATCTGAGGACTATGAGATAGTATTATGATTTTAACGGGATTCTCTCGAGCGTCCGTTTCCTCGAAGGAAATTCTTATGCAACGGGGCACGAAACACGATGCTAATCGCGAGGAATAAGTGATGGACGAGTCGAAAAATCAAGCACGTTTGTCGCGTAACCTACTCGTTTCGATGCAACACGAAAAGAAAAAATTCTGTGCAGATCGTTCTTTCTATCGACGATTTTCAGTTGCATCGCGTCGAGCTGCAGCAAATCGAACACGCGATTGTGACAGTTTTCGTAATTTCCGAGATCGGAGCAGTTCCTTTCCAAAAAAGTATCGTGTTTCTGAAAAGCCTGATTCGAACGAAAGCGAACGATTATTTTCATTTGATTTTCAATGTCGAAATCGAACTGCCTTGGCGATCAACGTGTCGGTCGTTGCTCCGACGATGAACTCAGTACAGTCGTGTACCGCGAATCGAAAATTAATTGGACGACGTTTCTCGATAATGACCGATGCAAGTCGGAATCGAAACGGACTGAATTTTAACGCAACTGCCACGTATTCCCAGCAAGACTCGACTACTTTGTAAGATATTTCCCCCCGAGTACTTTTTATATAATATATTTGTTATACCGCGCGACTCTGCACAACTTTGAAAGGATCTTCAGAGGACCTTTGCTTCAGATAGTTCACGTAGTACAAAAGGTGTACGATACCTTTCTCCAAATATTTCGAAAGAACGATGTCCTCAATATTTTTGTTTCTTTTTTTTTTTTTTTTCCTTAGCACGCAACTCGATTAGGTTAGATTTCACTCTAACTAGTTTAGTTTCAGACTCGAACTTTGTTCGATATTTCGTTTCTTCAACGACGAGACAAGTAAAATCATCGTGCGATCACCGGCGATTACCTGAATCGAATCACTGTAGCGTGACATTTTTAAAAAAAAAATATATATATATATACATACATATACGTAACAAAAAAATTGTGCCGTCTTTGAAAAGTCGAACAAGATTTTAATCTTTGAACTGGGAAATGTTCCCAACGACGTTCGAGAAACGTACGAGGCGTTCTTTTTTTTTTTTATGTTAGGCTTAGCGGCGACGTATAATAAGGCGAGAATAGGCGATTTAAAGAGAATCTCGAGGAGCAAATAAATAATCGATACCTCAAGTACGTTTAGACTGTCCAGTTTGTAATTTCTCGAACGAGAGCAATTCGTGGGATTTCGGAGAATTGCGGGCGAATTTATTGTTAATAGATCGACCGCGGTACCTTTCTCGAAATTACCGTAACTAATAACTTTTTGAACTTTCTACCTTGTACCTTTTTTAACAGACAGAGTTCGATCGTAGATCGTCTCGATATCGTCCAAGTCCGTTGTTTTAACACGAGAGAGAAACACTCCGGGAAAGTATTCAAATTTATTCCATCCGCGTATTACAATCTGTTTTACGTGTAATCAACTGCGACTGTTTTATGAGAATTCGACGAGCTGCTCTTTCGTAATCGTTATTTCCATAATGTAATCACGAAGTAAAACCAAACTGGTGGAAACGTTTACGATACAAATCGTTTGCCTAATCAGTGTGTGGAATTTTCATTTTTTAGCGGAAGTTTCGACTGCTGATTATTTGAAATCAGGACGTAGGAAACTGCAATTGATTGTAATTCCCGCAAGCGGCTAAGATTTCACTTATACAGAAGGTTGATAAAGATTGTACGTTCGTGCAGATCCAGCCAGCGGCGGCAACGAAACGAAACTGTTTTTCAAAAAAAAAAAAAAAAAAAAAAAAAAGAAAAAAAACGATCAAGGTTAGAAGTCGATTGAAGCCCAAGAACCGGAGTCATAACCGTGCGCGTAACTTTTTATACGAATATTTTCAATACGGAGGGAACGACCAATGTTTAGATTCACGGTGAAATCGAGGCCTAAGCTCGGTGTATTTGACGTACAAGTAACAATTGTATCTTCGATCGAACGTCCTTAACAATATATCTCTCTCTCTCTCTCTTCCCCCTCTTTCTCATGTCACGATTAATATCTTTTCGGAACGATTATACTCTGCTCGAAATTAAACGATCGTTCAGCGTGTATATACGTATGTATGTGTGTGTATGTATGTGTGTGTGTGTGTATGTATGTATGTATGTATGTCTAACGTACTTAACAATTCACTGTTAGCACATTTCCGATCGCGTGAACGATTTCTCGAAATTATATCGATCGCTCCGAGGAAAGTGAATCTTGGATGACTGACAGATTCCTGGAAGATTATGGTCGTTACATGCGAATTGCTACATAACGTATTACGATGCGGCGCGGGAGATGATTCGCAGGACATCCGGTCGAAGGTCAACCAAGCACATTTGTAATTTGTAACATTGCGTAATTTTAATCGACGGCACGATCGAATAGCTAGTGGAAATTGTTGGTTTTGTTATAAATATCATTTGCTCGGTATGTATGTTGCAAGCCTAGCCAATAAAAATGCATAGCTTTTTTTACAAAAAGGAAAAAGGAAAAAAAGAAACAGCTGTTCAACCTGGTACCAAAAATTGAAGAATTATCGTAATTCCATCCGGCTTGGTAAGTGATTAATTCGCGTTCGAATGAAAAACTCGTACATTTATGTTAATCAGTTTCTTTGCATCGAGAAAAAGTAACAGTAAAAAGTAACTCGTGGTACATAAATTGCCAGTCAATGTGGAAACGCCTTTAAAGGAGGCGAACCGACAAAACAAACGTTAGCGTGTGGATTTTTTTTTTTTTTCTCTCTCTCTCTGACACACACGCGAAATGTAACCTCGTCAATTCGAATTTTCTAAATTCTCGTTTCGCTCGGCTGGCGTCGAAGATCCTTCGTGCTCGACGTTTTACTCAACCTAAACGTTACGATAAAAAGCTCGCGGACACGTTTAAAGATCTCGGCATGCGATCGCTCTTCTTCGATCTTTTGAAGAGGAGTTCAAGGTGAGCTTGAATCTGATACCTTCCGTCGTATTCCTTTTCCTTATTGTTAGTTTCCTCACCGATCGCAGATGCCCCGTTCTGTCATTTCAGAACTCTGTGGAAGATCGGACGGTGTCGATTTCACGCGACTCCGATGGCGCGTCGAAAACGTGGCAAGAGCAAAGACGACGACGTGTCCTGGTGGATTTCACTACTAACAGCTTGCAAAAATGACAATCTTTCCTTTTTTTTTTTTTTTTTAAGTTTTAAAAAAACAAAACTTTAATGGGAATTTCAGTGACGAACCATCTAAACCGATTCTGGATCCTTCTTGCAAGAACGCTCTGGTGATTGGTGGATCCGATGGTTTCGGCTTCGCGGCGGCTGATCATCTCTTGTGCAAAGGAGCACGTGTTAGTGCTTATCAATATAGATGATCTTTGATCTAGAAAATCCTATGAATGGCATATTTACAATCCTAATGATCGTTACGAAATGAACAAAGTTGAATTGATGAAAAATAAAATTAATGAGTAAATTGCAACGACTACTTGTCAATGCAAATCAATCACTTTTATAGATATAATTGCCATCCATCCACGACTTGACAGAAATTCAAAGATTAACCTCTGGAAAATTCCATTATTGCAGACTGTTATAATCGCTGACGACAATCCCGATCAAGGACAAATCGCAGTGGAAAGATTGCGCGACAGCCACGGGAATAGCCGCGCAGAATTCGTTCATTACGACGTGAAAAGTGATTGCCACGTCCAAGGTAAATTAATAAACACGGCGGGAAACGAGCGTAAAGCAGAAATGTCGAGGAAGTTTATGACTCGTTAATGTAGCTGGTTTGGATCGCGCTCTCTGCAAGCTGGAAACCATTCACATTCTTTTCAACGATCTCGACAAAGAACGACGGCCGTCTACGTGCCCGATCTCGTCGAAGGAAGTTCGTAAAGAATCAGAATTAATTAACTGTACGCGTGAATGATACAAATGCACACAATTTACAGAACAGCGTGGTGAGAACGATTCGAGTGGGTCTGAAGCTTCTCGGGAGAGATCAAGGTGGCACTGGCGGGATAATAGTAAACTGCGCGAGCATTTTTGGCTTCATGGGATGGCCTGACGATCCGTTTCCGGTTTACTGCAAGAAGGAGCCAGCTATTGAAGTGACGCGAGATTACGCGGTAGCTACACGCACACTACGCGCTCAATTATCGACGAAACGTTAAATAATGATGTATTTTATTCCGTAACGAAGAGAGAACATAAAGGAGACGAAACGGGTGTTCGTGTGGTGGCCATTTGTCCAACGAACAAACTCTTCGCCGACATAGGCCTGCCGGATTTTCCAGAGCCTATACCGAATAAACGGACATGCGAGATGCCAGCCTGTATGCCAAAGTCGTGAGTTGTTACAAATTTTTATTGCTCGTTCGACGTTGTTACGATCGTTCGTATTGCAATTTTTATTATCGCCGTCGTGAGACTATTTACTCTGAGATTCATATTCTGTAAATAAATCAGTCGAACGTGCATGCAGGAAGCATCAGATTGGAACTGCTTTGAGCTACGTGTTAGCCTGGGCAAAAAGCGGTAGCACGTGGATCGTAGAACCAGCAGTAAGCGTCCATCAACTTCCTCGGTTGATTCGCTTCCCGGAGAAGGAAGGTGAAAAGGTCGATCCTAAGGTCTACGAAGCACGAGTAAAGTCAATCCCTTGTTGATTTTTCATTTCAACCATATCTTCTACACATTCCCGATCAAAAGTAAAGATCAAGGAACTCGATGCGAATTTCAGCCTTGCCCAGTGAAAATAGAAAATAGACCTTGCGTCGATCGACCTGCAGCGTGTACACCCACGGAGAAGGAAACGTGTGTAAAGAAGAAGAAGAAGAAGAAGAAGAAAGGTGAAGGTGACGATGGTCAACCAGACTAGGAAACAATCCAACTTAACTGGATTGTAAATGATGTTAACAATTTAGAAAATTGCACGTTGCAGCAACTGCTACGGCTGCTTGACAAATTTTAGGAAAATTCCTGAATACTTAGAATACTTTCTCTTTACTTTCGTAATCTGCCTTCGAGAACGAAGATTAAAGTCGAGATGCATATTTTTGAAAATAGTAACTGATAAAAACTATAAACAATCGCTACTTTGTTTTTAATATCAAATGATATCTCGTATACGAAATGATAAACTATAAACAATCGCTACTTTGTTTTTAATACTAAATGATATCTGGTATACTAAATGATTACGTAATGGACACTTTTAACGATACTGTTTGCTCGCTCAATAAGAGTAGAAATTTAACCGTCAGAGGATAAAATCTAACTGTCACTCTCACGATTGAAGAAACATGCAATTATGAAACGTGCAAAATATGAATATGAAATAATTAGAACGCAGATAAATACGCCCTCGAGATTAAGATTATTGGCAATTATCTACATGCAATAAATCGTTCGTACATCTCGCGCATTATATTACATAAATTAGTACACGTGTGTCTCTCGTCACTTATGAATCATCCATAATTAAATTAAAATATATTTCATGTCTGTAATGTATTGCCAATGAAGAACACGTTCTTACTATCGTTTCTCTCTGCAAATGCAAAACTGTCATTTCTATAAACTGTCAACAATAGTCGCGAGATTGTTTGACAGTTTGATCGATATAAGGATTTATGACAACTACGTAAGTAGTTGTAAGATCATACGATATTAAAATTGTTTTATGTTTATTTCTATAATAGCTAAACGTTTTTCGTCTGGAACTTTACATTCTTCTGCATCAAGTTTTATTTTCTAATTAACTCTTCAAAAGCCAAACGATTGACTCCAACAGAAGCCAACTTTTTGTTTCAAAATTGATTAATTGTCAAATCATCGTTGCAGACCGAAGTTACATGCACGACTTTTCACAGTCACTGATTTCATTGGATAGCAAAATGACGATAAAGCTGCCCTTCTGATTCCACGTTTTTTTTTTTTTTTTTTTCGATTTATGCTTCAACGAAATATGCCACCAATAGATAATTACCAGCACTTTAGCGGTGAAAGAAATTTTGAAAGACGCGCAATTCCTTGATCTCTGCATAATATAATTAATATTGAATTGAATAATCAATTCAATAAACTCGATTCAGCATAAATATAATAACTAGAAATTACACAATTATTATACACTCATTTGTTTATGTAGGAGAATTATGGACAGAATTGGCATTCGTATCATGCTCTGACTGTACAAACAAGCAGAAGTTAAAAATTGTTGTTTGCTACGAGATAGAAAAAATACTTGATAATTCAGTCTCGAATTTTTTTGAAATCTGTTAAAACGTGCAGCCATAAACGTTTCAGCAAATGCGACTATTACATTCAAGCTGAATCTAAAAAAGAATATATGTATAGAGATAATCTTTCAACAAACGCAAAACAATTGATTGTGATTATTCATATTACGAATGAACTTTTCTGAAATAAATAATGTGTACGTAATAGACAATCTTATTACATACATATTAAATAATATATATAATATAAATAAATTCAATTATAATATATAATATATAATAATAAATAAATTTAATATAAAACAATTATATATATATATATATATATGTATGCATATATGTATGCATATTAGATCGTTCTGTTTTATTAAAAATATTAAAAGAGAGATAAAGTCTGCGCAAGAGAGACAATGTCTCTGCGACATTCTTAGTATTTCAATTGAAGTTGAATTTCTCAGTATTTAATTTTTATTTTAATTTGTTATTTTCACGGACCAGGGTCCGTGAGTAAAGCGATGATCTAGTTCACCGAGAAGAAAAGGAAATGGCGATGCGTGTGTCGCGGACAATCCCAATCCAATCTTATCTCGTCAAAGTTCCTAAATTTAATAATTTAGTTGAGCATTCTTTTGCACGCTTGGCTGTATCACAATTACGAAATTCATTATCATAAATAGTCTAAATTTTCTTTGACCTTTAAATTAATCTGTACCGATGAGTACATTTCACAACTGATAGTGGCTATATTAACGTATGATCGCGAATCACTCTGAACAGAGACGTGTGAGTCACGTTCGTAGGCCGTCTAAATTAAAACTTTATGAATTATTTATTATTTATTATAAATGAATATTTGAAATATTCTTATAAACGCGCCCATGATCTGCGAGATGCACGATAAATACGATAAATAATTAGTTAAATCTTCATTGTCTCAATATTAATCAATCATAATTGTCACATCAATGTTATGTCAATATTAATCTAACACTGTTGTTAGATTAATCTCGAAGTCCAATATAAAGAAAAATCGAAACAATTACGAAATTATCGAGCCAACGTACAATTAATTTTTTATCTTTCTATAATTCACATAATCAGTTCCAGTATTAATGAATATAAAAAGAGAAAACGATTTCGACGTGATTCGATGCGTGCGAACTTACACACAATGAAGAGAGTTAAACGCACTCTTTATTGTACTCTGTATTGTCTGGTAAAAGTCCAAACAATGCATCAAATCACGTCGAAATCGTTTCAATATTTTTATACGCAAGACTGATTAGTATTTATAGTATATAATACCAACCTAATACCTGTAATAGCAAGCGTTTCTCGAGTATTATAGCATCTCTGGACGCCGCTTTATAGTATATAATACTTACTTATAGNTATAGTATATAATACTTATTAATAGTATTATAAATTTATAGTATATAAATATTTATAATATTATAAATTTATAGTATATAATACCAACTTAATACCTGTAACAGCAAGCGTTTCTCGAGTATTATAGCGTCTCTGGACGCCGCTTTATAGTATATAATACTTACTTATAGTATTATACTTACTTATAGTATTATAATACTTACTTATAGTATTATAAATTATATAATAATAAAATTATATAATACTTACTTATAGTATTATAAATTTACATTTATAAATACCGTTTTATAGTATATAATACATATTAATAGTATTATAAATTTATAGTATATAAATATTTATAATATTATAAATTTATAGTATATAAATATTTATAATATTATAAATTTATAGTATATAATACCAACTTAATACCTGTAATAGCAAGCGTTTCTCGAGTATTATAGCATCTCTGGACGCCGCTTTATAGTATATAATACTTACTTATAGTATTATAAATTATATAATAATAAAATTATATAATACTTACTTATAGTATTCTAAATTTACATTTATAAATACCGCTTTATAGTATATAATACATATTAATAGTATTATAAATTTATAGTATATAAATATTTATAATATTATAAATTTATAGCATATAATACCAACTTAATACCTGTAATAGCAAGCGTTTCTCGAGTATTATAGCGTCTCTGGACGCCGCTTGGAACAAGTCTCAAGAGAGATTTGAAACGGGGCGCGGTAACTCAATAGACCGACAGAAATAAACATCGGTGTCCGTGGACACTTGGCGCCGAATTTTTTTCCTCTCGAGGATCGGCGTATAATTCGATCCTGTTTACCGGTACGATCCGCGGTCACGTTATATCGCCGCGTCAGAGACGTCATTTCATATCCACGAGAGAGACACTTAATCCCCCGGTACGATTGATTCTCGATTTCTCATATTTCACCGGCCGCCAGGATATATTCGATTGGCGAGGTCTCGCGCGTGCACGCCGCGCGGAACCACCGTCGCGTCGCGTCCTAACCTGCTGAGAAATAGGAACCTAACGGGGCCTAACCACGTTCGCTTCGATCATGAGCATCGACGGTAAAATCGCGCTCGTTACCGGCGGGGCGAACGGCATCGGCTTCTGCACCGCGCGGAAACTCCTCCGAAACGGAGCCAAGGTAACCCAGCCGTGGGCTGAACTCACTGCCTCTCTCGACAATTTCGTGATTTCGTTGATCTAAGAGAGGAGGGTAATTTGATCTTCTTTTTCACTAACGATGAATTCTTTTCCCAATCTTTCTTTGAATGAAAATGTAACTTTCTAGCTCGTTTGACTGCTCCCTGAGCAACCTGTTCAAAGACACTTGACACATGTGGTGTACGGTTAGTTTTCTTCTTTTGTTTAATTAAAATTATTCCAAGTGAAGAAAGAAAAATTGAAATCTGTTCGAGAAACTATTCACCGCGGAATCTCTCGACAATAGAAACAAAAAAACTCGTCAAAAAGTGCGTCAGCATTGATAATATTTTATTCATCATTAACGTTCAACATATGTGGACATTATTATTATTATTTTTTTTTTTTTTGTATATTTACTGTCTTTTCTAATTTTTCCTGGCTCGCTGAATTGCCGCCGATGTGAATAAAATGAATAAAACCTGATCAAACAAAAAATTCAATAATTCTTTTCTTGGCACTTAAAAAAATTCGTCCTTGAAGAGGTTGAAATGGCTTGCTCCGTAAAAGTCAAAAATTCACTTTTGATAATTATGCGTTATACTAAGGGTGGGGCATTAGGATTTTAGAGATGCTTAGGACAAATGATGTTTGATCTTTGCCTTTTTCGAGTCGACACCGACTAACGCGAGTCATTCAAAGACCTGATTAATCAATTCCGTGAATTGAAAAACAGAGAGGAAAACGTGACTTTTTTTTTTATTTACGTTAGAATTTATTATATTTATTGTTTACGTCAGCATTTTGCGACGTAAATTTGCATGAATTTGCGATAAATGAACTCGTAGAGATATTTGAAGACTCGATTATTTATTACATTGTTAGACGTTTATGGTCCCAAATAGTTGAGAGACAATGTTATTCAAATGCTGCATGTAAATATTTTACTAAATAAACGTTTGTAATGAATATCTTGCAATTTCTACGTAAATGTTCACGTCGGTCATAGTCGTGTCTGAAAAATATACATGAAAGTTTCTCCAAGTTTCTACAAGTCGTGACAAGAGTATTCATGTACATTCAGGCGGTAGCTCTGTTGGATCTAGGCGATTCTGGTGGCGAAAGTGCAGCCGCGGATTTGAACAACGAATTCGGCAAGGATCGTGCCATTTTCGTCGTCTGCGACGTGTCAAAGAGCGAGCAACTTAAAGGTAAACGTCACTACATTTACTACATTAACTTTAGAATTTCAAAATATTCTTCACGTATGCTGAAATATCTTTTCTCTCTTGCATGCCATTTACATCCTTAATAATATAAAATATTCTTCACATATACTAAAATATTTTTTGTAATTTTCTTTCATGCATTTACAATCTTGATATTGAATGCAGTAGCATCTACGTAGAGTTGTGACGTAGGATTTGGTCTAGAAAATTCTAACAATAGCGATACGATGCTTAATTTTCGAACACGGCGCGATACAGTGCATTTTCACACGCAGAATCGTTCAAGAAGATAATCGACACCTACGAGACGCTAGATATTCTTGTGAACATCGCTGGTATCATGGACGATGCTGACTGGGAAATAATGGTCGACGTCAACTACGTAAGCGAATTAAGATTAATTAAAATTACCTTAATTATATTTCCATTCCGTGTGTGAAGAAATATTCCATAATGTCTTTTGATTTTTAATCTGAGCATAAAAAACGTGTCTAAAAGAAAAAAAAAAAAAAAGAACGTCGATTCGTTTAGAGTCGAAATAGACTTCAGAGAGTATCCAAGACAACAAAAGGGAGTTAGGACAATAAATTTCATTTCCTGCTGATAGAAAGGTATCGTTCACGCGACGATCTTGGGATTGCACACGATGGGGAGATACAAGGGTGGCAACGGCGGGATTATCGTGAACATGTCGTCCGTAGCTGGCCTCGAGGGCATCCCCATCGCGCCAATTTACGGTGGAACACAGTACGCCATCGTTGGTTTCACCCAGTCGTTGAAGGTGAAAGAACGAATCAACAAATTCTACTTTTTCAGCTGCGGTACAAAAAGAAAACTGTAAAGTCTAACATTTCTATGCTTGTCTCGGGCAATATAGCACTATCACGAGAAAACAGGCATCCGTATGTTGACGATATGCCCAGGACTAACGACCACCGCCATGGCCGCTAGATTCATGTCCAGCAAGGAGCACGCTATGGATCTCCTCGACGAAGAAACCGCGGCTGCGGCGATGGCCAGCATGCAGAAACAACCGTGAGCATTAAAAATTCTACGAATATTTCAAGACAGATGCTACAGCGCGTCTAGCGTAATTCGTCTACTTTCATTTCACGACTTCTCGGTTTTATCACGGCAGCTTTGTAAACTTTTTCGTTCGTCGAAAGCTAAAAAGGCTGCAAATTTTATACATATTAGAGTATCTTTTCGAATAATTGAATCAGAGAATCGAAAAATCAAAATTCACTCCCTGCATTCTTCAATTCTGTCTCGTTTAAAGCTACGATTCGGATAGTTACTTAAAGAGGAGATACAAATCAGTAGCCGACCGAACAATTATAATTGGTCGCTGTTATTTTAAAATAATTTTCGACCGTTTACAAAACATAAAAGCTTAATAACAGAAAATATTAACTCACACGCGAGGTGTTTAATTATCGCAATATCTCTGAATGAAATAATGTTTGTTAACAGACCGGAGTACGTGGCCACCGCTATTATTCAACTGATCGAGCATGGCAAGAACGGCGCCATTTTCGTCATCGAAAACAATCAACCTGCGTACGCAGTCGAAATTCCTAGTTACAGCACCTTAAAAGTCCCGATATAATCATCAGCGTGCAACCAGAAAAGAAAATCCGATCGAAAGGATATTATCAATTAGCCATTAATTAATTTAATATCCTTTGATAGCGAAGGCTGGGTCGATTGTGATTGTGCAAAAGATATTTCACGGTTCTCATATGAAAATTACGTGCAAATATGAATATCTATAAAAATGTTGGGTCACAAATATTCATGAAAATTCATATTTAATTTATATTCGTATTGACGTCACGTGAAAATGAATATTCGTATTGACTTCTGTTGCCTCGTTCGCTTGCAAACAAAGATTCGGCCTTCGATAAACAAGAGTTAACAAGAGAATAAATTGGTATCTTGCCAAAGGTGGTCTAAGTCACTCGAATTTTCGATAAAAGTGCATTTCTCTCTCTTTACACTTAGAAAGGAAAATCTTTGATAAAACTAAATACTTAAAACTTCAACGCGGGTTTATGTAGCCTAAGACGTAGATCACGTTCAACCATTGGCGCAATTATTACTTGCGATAACAGCTACAAAAATTGTTCGTTAATTCGCTGCTGCGTTTTCCGATGTTGCATTTTGTATTTATAACAGTCGTTGGATGTCAACAAAATAGAAGATATGTATTTTGATAAGACACGCATTATGCCATATGTAATACGCTCCCGGTGGAGAGGGAGAGCTGAATTTAAAATAATTCTTACTCGTCTATATGCCACTTTATGAAACCACTTTATAAAATTGAAAAGATAGAGAACTAAAGTGAAATTTTCCGAAAGAACATAGATACCTCGATTTATTAAAATCGATAAATTAAAGTCAAACTGGTTAAAATAACGTTTGCGTGTAATGTTACCATACGATCTCTGCGAAAAGTTTATTTTTCTCCTCGCAAATTTCTCAACTCTTTTCCATAATCGCGATATTAAGAATTAGAATTCAAATTGCGACGCAACTGTCACGACGTTGATCCGCGACAATTAAAAATTTGCAATCCCTTGACAAAGAGATGAAGCGTTAATTAATACAAACATATTTTGCCGCTGCGATTATCTTCTATCATACGTTTCTATTATATATATATATATACCTGTAATTAATAATTCAGAATGGAAACTCCGTGACACGATGTACGGCAACGTTTGGCGACAGCCGAGAACGAAATTTGAAAAAATATGCACATGCGTGACTCTGCATCGGCTGGAAACAGAATTGAAAACGTCAGCGACAGCAAATGCTCGAGTTAACGTTACATTACATTCGCAACTGATGACGGTGTGTAAAGTAACGTTCTGCGATTATAATTGAAAGAATAAAGGAGAAGAGAAAAATGTATAACCACAAGCATAACGAGAACATGTTTCATCGATTCCAACACTTCCAACGGAGCTTATTTTTTATCGAACGATTACTTATCGTCCGCCGCGATTAGAATTGAATAAGAAAAAAAAGGAATAACTCGTGCCTATACATATGCATCGCGCATCTGTATGTATGTATATTTCATGCGTGTATATGTTCCTTTATATAATACATTACTCCGCATTGATTGCTGCAGAACCAGTTTCATCTCCAACGGAAGTATCGTTCTTTGGTTCTAAATATCGTCTCCACGAATATCTGCCGTTCGCATAAATCACGGTGAGTCTCCAACGAACACGATCAAACGGGAGCTACTCTCGTTCGATTTCGGACTGTTCGGCGATTTTTAATTTGGTTAATTTTGAAGTTTCGAATCGAACGGTTCTCTATCGATAGTTTAGATACCGACGCTCGAAGCGTAAAATTTCCATCAGAGACATCGAGGACCAAAAAAGTAAATAGAGAAATTTTATTAATGCAATGGAACGCGCAAGCTTTTATTCGTTTGTTTCGCAAAAGAATTATTTAAATCTTTAAGCACACACCGTTTATAAAACGTCCATAAAATAATGTCTAACGATGATTATCAATTGGCTAATAATATATTAATAATATAATGATAAATAATAGTATTTATAATATACTAATAATATACTAATAAATACTAATAATAGTATTTGTATAATATATTAATATATTAATATATATAGTATAAATAATAGTATTTATAATATACTAATAATATACTAATAAATTGGCTAATAATATACTAATAATATCTTAATAAATTTAGGAAGCTTGTAAGATATTTATAAGAAGGTTCATTCGATCTTTGACTATTATCAAATATAAACTTAAAGATCCCAAAGTCTGTGTGTAATTCTCATCTGTATCAATCATAACAATACACAGTAGAATTCCGTTTATGTGGAAGCTTATCGGAAGATACAACTATAGAGAGTTCGTGTAACAGGAGCCTGCTGATTCTCCCTGTATCGAGTAATGTTTCGTTCGAGTAAGTGAGTTTCGATCGATCGGGTATCGATTAAAACGTTTAATAAAAAATAAATCGAGTGATTTACTGTGCATGCGACAACGACGTTAAGTGTTACAACACAAATAACAGAAGCTACGGATGGCTAACAAACAATAATAAATAAACATCCACGAACACGACCTTCTCCCATTTAGTGACACTAATATTAAACAGTCTCTCAGTTTCTAGAAGATCGTTTCTAGAAAAATCATTAAATATTATATTACATTATATTTCGTGCGCTGTATCTAGACGAGAACTTTGACGCTTCATTATCGAGTGCTAGACGATTGCACGTAATCAAAGAAATTAGCCTTTATCGCGTCCTAGAAAAAAAGAAAATCATCTTTTTTCTCGGCGAAGCAGAAAAGTTGAAAGAAACAGTCTTCCTTTTTCTAGATCATGGATCACATACGGAACAAAACTTTCCTGGTCACCGGCGGAGGTAATGGACTCGGTCTAGCTTTTGTTCAACGGCTGTTGCAGGACGGCGCGAAGGTAAGTTTTCGTACGCAATTTCGATCGTGAGAAGATCTTCTCTCCTTGTTGAGTTGAACCAATATTATTTATAGATTGTTGCCATCATCGACTTAGAAAGCAGGTCCGTAGCGGTTACGGTAACCGAGTTGGAAAGAGAATTCGGAAAGGGACACGTTCAATATTTCCCTTGCGATGTGAGCAATGTTCAACAACTGAAAGGTATTTAGAAATAACATAATTGCTACAAAAAGAAAGAAAAAAAAATAAACATCCAAGCGGAAACTTGTAAAATGAAATCGCTATTTTTGGCTACGCGAAATGTTTCGTAGGAGAATTTCTTTTTTTTTTTCTTTCTTACATCTGAGAATTAATGACTATTGAATGCAAAAATTGAAATCAATTGATCACGTGTGTGTTTCATTTCACATGAAATTTCCTGCAGAGACCTTCACAAAGATCTGGAGCACACTAAATGACATCGATGTTGTCATTAACAATGCTGGTATATTTAATGATTGCAAATGGGAGCAAACGATTGGTGTGAATGTCGTAAGTACAATATTATTACAAGATTCGAAGAAAAAAACTTCCCAATAGCCTCTATATTACACACGAAGCAACGCGCGGTATATCTAATAACGATTAGATTCATTTGTTTTCATAAATAATGAACTTGTAAATTTGCAACTTTAAATATATTCGCGAGATAACTTTTTAGAAAATTCAAATACATTTGCGAGGTGACTGTCTTAAGTTAATTTAAATACACGTACGGATTTGAAAAGCTAATCAAATTCCGTGAAAAAATTCAGAAAAAAACTTTAGAGTCTTGAAATCTTACACGTCCCTCGTTTCATTAAACTTAATTTGGCCCTTGGTATCAAATTGACACAATGGTCAAAAAATTAGTGCCTACTAAGTGAACAGATAAATAGTTAAATTTGCAGATTTTTTTCATTAACTTTTCATAAATATTTAAATCTCTATTCGAGTGCAAATCCTACATTCGCGTATCAGTGTTACAACTTCACATAGTAATTTTATCTTTTCTGGTTTGATCTAAAATCGTGATCATTTGTTTGTAGATCTCCACTTGTATATCACGAATGCCTATTCGCATCTTTGAAAAAAATGGCGCATTGAATGCCTAATTAATAATTGAATGCCTGGTATAATAATTAGAAATGCACTGTCTTCAAGGAACTTGAAAACGAATATTGTTTTTCAACTCTGGTGGCAATATTTTATTGTCAACCCTTTCAGTACCTCAAGAATCGCGATTTTTGTCTTGTTTTAATATTTGGAACAATTTCATTGAACATTCGAGTATTTTAGTTCTTCTTATTGACATTTTATTTTCACAAAATGTTTCTGTTGAGAAGCAATGTGCATATTTCACCGAGATTTTCTTCCTACGACAATGCAGTTTGTAGTTTTAAACGATACATAGAAAAACTGCAAGATACTGAAAAGGTTAAAACTATCGGAAATATACGTTATGTGTTAGAAAAATACACGTTCCAAGAGCTTCAGTTCTGTATCTAGTGATATACAGGGTGTCTCAAATTTAAACGGACAAATTACAAAGGTTTAATCGATAGGTTAAAAGGAAAGGGAAGAAAAAGACAGTCGCTGACGCAAATTAAAATTTTTCAAGGCATTTTTTTTTTTTTTTTTGAGATAATTTCAAGGCAATGTTTTTTTAAGTAATAATTTTTACTCTTCCTAAACTGATTTAGAATCGTAAATTATCAAATAATACGTTTCAACGATAAATTAAAGTTGCCCTTTATAAGTTAATTTTCATAAGTTGAAAAGTGCCTTGAATATAACATTTACACGACGCAATCGTAGCATCGCCATCAATTTCTTAATAAGATCGACAATTTGCAATTACAAACTGGCAATTTGCCAACATTTGTTGCTGTTTCTCGATTTTAAGAACGGTGTGATCCAAGGATCGTTGCTCGCTTTGAACTACATGGGCAAGCACAACGGTGGCAAAGGTGGCACCATAATAAACATCTCGTCCATCACGAGCCTTGATGTTTTCCCATCTATGCCTGTTTATTGCTCCAGCAAACATGCCGTATTGGCGTTCAGTCGTTGCCTACAGGTAAATAACACGTTTTATCATGTCGTAAAAACGAATTCGTTGGCTGCATCTTTTGCCAGTTCTGGCGCCTAGGATTTTGAAGAATTACTTAGACACTCGGTGTACACTCAGAATCTTAGTCACTTGCCTCGGCATACAGTACACGAAGGCTAACTAAACTGAAAACGAGAAAATTTCGTAAAGTCCAAAATGCCAACGTCCAAATTCGTTCGTTCATTTGCACGAAATTTTGTAGGAAAACTTCGAGAAAACTGGGGTTCGCGTTCTCGTGCTGTGCCCTGGAGTCACGACAACGAATCTCATAAACGATATTACGGAGAAAACTTTGGACCTCGTTGATGAAAAACATAGGGAAAATTTTGAGAAGAACTATCCAAAACAATCGTAAGTGAATGCCTCCTTCGCCCACGGTTTCAGTTTTAAACGTAATCTGAGTAATCTTCAAACATTTTTTGTACTTTATAAGTTATGAAAGAAGAAGACCGATCGTATTTTTCGCCTGTGAATTATATCTACGTAACATTTTTTTTTTTTTTACCAGCTTTTTTTTCGAATAGCTTCTCAGAGAAATACAACGTGAAAGTGTTTCTTCCTTTTTTCTCTTTTTTAATTTTCATGTCGTTCCAGAATGGAATACGTTGTCAGAGCCATGCTAAGCCTTCTTTTGAAAGGCCCGAACGGATCAGTCTGGGTCAGTGAGGCTCAGAAACCACCGTACGCCGTCGAATTCCCTCCTTACAGGAAAGTGGAGCTGAATCTTTAAATATTGTCTTATTTAGTAAATAAATTTAATAGTAATACAATAAACCATGAACGAAAAAAAAAAAAAAAAAAATTGTTAAACGCTAAAAAGCAGACGTAACTGACATCGACCATCCTGTAACGCGTGAAATAAAATTTGACGACGAGGACGTGACAAATAAAAGAAAGCAGAACAACAGATAATCGTCGCACGGTTATTAAATAGAAGTGAAAATCATGTAAAACATTGCTTCTGGAATAAAAGATGAATAATTCATAGGAAAGATTTTGTCCTTGTGCGCCGAGATTGCTTCGTAGAAAAAAGAAATTATTCCGCTTTCGTGGAATAATGAAAATGAACGTGAAATTGCTATATATGTGTGTGTGTGTGTGTGTGTAATAAATCGAGAGTGACAGACAGCTACTATAGAAGAGATCTCGTAGTCAACAAAAGATCAAAGCGGTGACACGTGTTGCGACGATGTCCAATGCAGATAGCGGAAGATTCGCTATCCTCTTCGTGAAACATCATGGCGCGCGAAAGGTCGAAGATCACGACACAGAGAAGCAACGGCGTCTGTCGTGTCAGCTTTGATAGAAAACCTCCAGTACAGAATATTTTGCGATCAGTGGCTACTAAGACACTGACCGGCTCGATCTTTAACTCTTGCTCTTTACTCGGCGGCTCTTTAATCTATTTCTTTTTTTTTTTTTTTTCGGGCTCTTTTATTTATTCAACTGGCCCTGTCCCTCGTAAATGAAACAACGATCATTCCCTGAGTGACACATCGTACGAGACTGTTCCACGAACAGCTGTTTCAAGCTCGCAGCATATCGCGCGATTTCGATTTCTTTTTTCAAATTAAAGATCACTCGTCGTACTCCAAGTGCCAGGGTTCGTTCGTATTTGAGGAACGAACGGTGTCGTCGAAGTGTTTGAATCGGAGACGATTCGATTCGGCGTTGAAGGTTTCAAAGTACAACAATTTCATTCTTCTTTCCCCAAGGAAAAAAAGGAATATAGAGGAGTATGCAGATCAAGGATAAAAGAGTCATCGTAACGGGAGCTGCGGGTGGTTTGGGTATGAACATCAGCAGAGAACTGCTACGAAATGGTGCATCCGTAAGTTTAATTTTCATAAATGTGAAGAAAGCACGAAGAATCTCTGTTCTTTGAAAAAAAAAAAAGAGAGAGAAACTGCTCAACTCGGACAAACAACAGTATTACAGTACAATTTTGCACTCGTGAATGTAAATAATAATTTCAGATAATAGCAATGATAGATGTTGAGGAGGTAGCTGGCGAAGAAGCGATGAACATATTGAACGCGGAATTTGGCCGCAATCGAGCTGTATTCTTTCATTGCGACGTTGCGAACAATGCCCAATTCGATGGTAATTATTTTTATATATTATATATTTAATTATTATTAAATTAAATTTAATGATAATTAAATATATTTATTTAATTATTATTATATATTTATTTTTATATATTATATATAATTATTATTAAATTAAATTTAATGATAATTAAATTAATTATTTATAATTAAATATATTTAATTATTATTATATATTTATATTTTATATATATTATATTATTTATATATTTATATATTATATATATAATTATTATTAAATTAAATTTAATGATAATTAAATCAATTTAATTGTTATTAATGCAAATAATTAAATTAATTAATTATAATTAAATATATTTATTTAACTATTATTATATATTTATATTTTATATATATTATATTATTTATATATTTATTTTTATGTATTATATATTTTGGATAAGACACGCTCTTGTAACAATTGAATACAAATTTAATCCAATATTGCAATAGTTTGATTTTGATAGGAAACATATACACGCAACATAGATCCTTTAATGCATTCACAAGGGACGATTTCACCCCTAAAAATGGAGAATCCATGTTACGTGTAGTCAATTAACTGCAACTTCACATTTCCCTATAACGTATAAGTGTAACACTGGCTACGTAGATTTGTTTTGAAAATGAGTCACGTTAAAAAAAAATACAACATATACATTCGTTCGACACGCACAAGAGAATGATAAGTTAAATTACATCGCAGATACGTTCAAAAAAGCTGTGAAAACACTCGGCGGCCTCGAGATCCTAGTGAACAATGTTGGCGTCATCAACGAAGACGATTTTGGAAAAGCTGTCGATGTAAACGTGGTGAGCAAAATATTCGACATTGTTAGATGTCGAACGTACGAAATATTTTACTATTATTAGAGTCGACAAATTGAATTAGAAATCTGTGAAGTCAGAAATCGCGAAATGTAGATGGATAGGTTTAGAAATCCCGAAGCAATTTATCCTTATCTACGGATTGTAGATGTTGTACGATAATAGAACGATCGGATCCCAATAGAGAGATCTTCTGGTCTCAAAGTGCAGCGAGGCGTCCATCGTGTTAAAAGTTTCCATCGATCGATCGATTGGTTAATTGTGATCGATTTGCGCAGACGGCGGTGATACGAGGGACGCTTCTCGGGATCCAACAAATGCAAAAGGACGCCGGTGGCAAAGGCGGTGTTATCGTAAACATATCGTCTGTGGCTGGTCTGTACTCCTTATCTCAGCTTCCAGTATATTCCGCCACGGAGCACGCTGTGGTTTCCTTCAGTCGTTCCTTTGCGGTAAGTTCTGCTTCTACCCAGGAACCGGTCGTATTGTTCTTAACTCGATTGTTCGGCCTTGAGGCCCCGATTCATCTCGATGATTTCACAGCTACCTTATCATTACGAGAAGACTGGAGTAAGAATAATGGTCCTATGCCCTGAGCTTTCTCAGATGTCCAATGATGCGAAAGATTTGGAAGACAGCCCCTCGCGGGATGAAGTAATACAGAAATACATCCGAAGGTATTTTCACTAATGATGATTGCACGAATATTTGAGATTGAATTTTATGACCGAAAATTGAAAATACTTTGGTAGAAAATATTTTGGAAGACAATCCCTCGCGAGGATGAAGTAATAGAGAAATACATCCGGAAGGTTATTTTCACTAATGATGATTGTACGAATATTTGAGATTGAATTATGCTCGAAGATTGAGAATATTTCAACAGAAAGCAATTACTTTAATTCGTCAATAATTGTTTTTAAGCAAGATCACTTCGACAAACAGCATTTTCAAAAAACAATTGGAAATCCCGCGAGAGATTTAGGAGTGAGAAGTTTGATTTCATAGAGAAAGATCACTTGTTGATAAGAAAATTAGAATATCAATTGCAAACGATATCTGTTCAATTAGTACTAAAACTATTGAAAAGCTCCACGAATATTTACACCAAACTGTACGATAAATACATATATTTCAGTAATAATTTTACATCATTGTGCTACGTCTCTTTTTTTATTGCATTAGAGTGGACAGCGTGGCACACGGATTAATTTACGTGATCAGATGCGCTCAGAATGGAAGTATTTGGATCAGTGAGGATGGGAAACCTGTCTACGAGATACAACTGTTCGACACCCTACCGCAAAAATAGGATAATTAGTTCATCCTGAGCAAAGCAGAATGGAAACGGATTAAATTATTGAATTTTGTAAATACGATATCACGACTGCGTTGCTAAATGTATATACTACGTATTGCACTGTATTGTTTTTTTTTTCATATTATATAAGCTTCTGAGAATAATAAGTAAATAGCGATATAAGTATAAATTCGTGTAAAATTACTGCTATTTATACTTTAGAATAGAAAAATCCTTATGCAGAAAGATTTATGAAATCCTCCTATTTAACGTAGACGAGAGAGCATCTATTAAACGCGAATAAATAGTTACGTTGGATACAACTATCTTCGTTCGCCATTGTAGATAAATCAACTTCTCAGAGTCGGAAAATTTCAAGTAGCATGTGCATTCAGTTTTGCATCATTATCGTCGTGTAATGATACCCGCCTCCAGAGTACAATAAACAATGTGCATTTTAAATACTCAAATATACTCACAATACTCGTTCAGAATTGCAATTGTGCGTATGGAGTTTCACATTCGCAAAGACACTCGAGCTTTTACTTAAAAAAAAAAAAAAAAAAATGTTCACGTAAGAAATGATTCGACAATTCTATTTGCTATTCATCTTTGAAAATCACGAATGGACGAATAAAAGGAAAAAAAAAAAAGAAGAGGACAAATTTAACTATCTATCGCCATTTATAATATTTTGACTGTCACTTTCGGACGTCGAATTGCGCAAACGAATTATAACACGTTTAATTTGACTTTAGTTCGCGGGAGCATGTTTTTTCGGACGCCAACGATTACGGATATCTTCTTATCAAGGTCCCCTGGATACTCTCGATCACTCGAGAGACCGTGGATCGCTTGAACTTTGATTCGAATCTTGTACGAGAGAAAGAAAGAGCGAGCAACTTGGTCGGTTCCTTATGTGTTTCGTTGCTACATTAATTACGCACAGGACGAGTATTTACGTTTCGATGTGACGCAGTTGTTAGATAATTAGTCACGAAATGTCGCGATACTTGTACAGAACTTCATAACCAGAGGTCGAGGGAGTTGATAACCCGGTAACATTACAAACTGCTTACCATCTACAAGCATATCGCGTAAAAATGTCTATTTGTTGCAGGTTGCACGGGTCGACTGTAGAAAATAATTTTCGAATAATATCCCTTGGCACGGTAGAAAGAAACCCTGCCTTTTTTCAAGGTCAAGAATCAATTGGATCTGTCGAAATCTCCCGTTGAGACACAAAACAATTGCACGATTAGCGATTATTTTATAATTATTTCATAAAATCGATACGTGAAACACGCCGCGTTGTTTTTCGCTTGTCCCGAAATGAGACAAAGCTCGAAGGAAATCGCTTTTATTTATTTGCATTCCACCCTGACGAGATACATCGTCATATTTTCTTGTCAACTTCGACTCTGACTTTAAAAGCGATCTCATCGACAAAGTGACGACTTTGATCTCTCGATCTCGGTTGTTCGCTGATTTTTATTCAAGTTGTTAAATCATCATTATTTGGTTATTAACGTATAACGTGCGATAAGATAGGAGGAGGATTAAATCGAAAAAAGCAGAACGGCTGAAAAATATATGCTAAAAAGGGAATGCTCGGGAGTGGGGAAGGAAAGAGAAAAGAGAAAGGGAAAGAGAACGAGACTCGTTGTTTCTAGCTTGTCAATCGGAGTAAAGTTCACCGCGAACCAAATCATACCGGATACCCGGGGTACGCCTTTAAATGGCGAACGCGTGGTTTCGCCGCGATTTATCGCAAGTTTGCCCAGACGGACACATTAAATGCACTTTTCCCCCGATAACGGGCCTCGGAGCACGAGCTGCGGCGTACGTCGACTCGTTATCGCAGCTGCGCGCCACACGACACCGCATAAACTATGTTTTCCAAGACTATTTATTCCCATGTACACATATAATTAGTGAACCGCGACAGCACGAGGTTTTTGCAACAAGAAAAAGTAATGAATTGAGAATGAAGGAGCAGAGAAGATAACCGCGAAAAGACAGCTGAAGAATGATCGCACTCTTCTCGAAAGTCACATTTCGCGTTTCTCGTTTTTGATAAGGATTTATCGACTCTGAGAATCTTGATAATTCGAGCCTCTACGAAGGTATAATTCTGTTTGTCGGTGCTTCCATTTTCTTTCGCGAGGCTCGATTGACGCTGCCGTGAGACACGACTATCATTAATCTGTAAATTACAAGATGTTTAAGTGAAAAAACCTTAATATACAGCATGAACAGCCATGTAACAAATACGTATTTCACAGGTTTCACGTATGCTTTCATACTTGATTACGATCATGATAATCGTGTCTCACAGCAGAGTTTAAAAAATGCTTCTTTTTCCTCGCGCAGAAACGTCACAAATTTGTAGAAAAATAATCGCTGACAAGTCAATCTGACTATCGTTGTTCGACAAGAAATAACAAATGACGCACTTACTGCGTGAGATTTCTTCCAATCGTCTTTCGTTTGAAGATCGACGACGATGAGTCAAGGAAAGCGGGCGAGGTTCGCCGCCACGATTCAAACAATCCGTTTGGGAATTACCAATGGCATCCAGAGTTTTATATCGATGGGTCGTTGCGTTTCCAGAATCGAGATCATGTAACATCGATGTTGGGCAATCGTGCATCGATATCATTGCGGGAAACTTTTATTTCCGCGGGATTCCTTGAAAAAAAGGATGGTGCAACTGTAAAGCAAGAAATTTAAGAGATTCGTCGAAGTTCAAAAGTTAAAAACAAGCCTGTTTCATTGATAATTCTTAAGAGAGACAAATTTCTCGATAACAACAGGTCAAAAAATTTTGGAAGTCTCGTTCTCGCGAAGGACGATTGAAAGACAAAAGACGTGCAAATTGTCATTATCAAATTAATGAATCAATAGATTTTTTTATCGATTGCGATCAAATGAAAATCCTCGTTGGCATATCGTCGTGTCTCTTACCTGAGGCGATTAGAGCTACTGCAAAAGCAAAATAAATCGCGAATTTATCGATGGACGGCCGTCATCGAAGCGCAATTTAATTGCGTTTATCGCGAGGGCAGACGCCGCGTTAGCGTTGAAAACTCCTCGAATGATTGAGCGCGCGATACAAGGTCGCGACTGAATTAATTAATTTCGACGGCAAGGGTTAATTATAAAAGCTATCGACTGTTCGACGATCCGTCGTCATCCAACATGGAGGAACGTGGCAAGAGAAAAGAAACCAGCCGGCCTCTCTTATCCACCTATCAACGAGGCACCCCCCGCGATAAAAATCCAACAACGCGTTGTATTCGTAGAAATCAGCTCGGCTTATAAATACCATTGGCGAAGACCGATCGAACTTTAGTACATTGAGGCACGTTCACTCCGTCTTGTGTCTCTCGAACTCTTTGCAAACCGATATCTCGTGTGTCTCATTTCTCTCGCGATCTCCTTCGGACAAAAAGATGGGTACGTTCGGAAAGTACAGCGAAAGTACTTTCAAAAGTGAACGAATGAAAATAAATAAATTAGAAGAAAGAAAAAAAGAAACGAAAGAGCAGAAAAAAAGAGTACCATTCGTTCGAATGATTTCAGTTTGTAAAGTTGAAAGAAGATGCTTTGATACGATGATCATTAATTAATTGAAATTGAATTAAACGAAAGATCTTCGAGTCGAATATTTTTGTTCATGTTGAAAATAATAACGATTGTTAAATTGCTAAAAATAGGTGTTACTCCATCTCCGAATGTCTGAATGCTTTTTTTCTTTTTTTTTTTTTTTTTTGAATATCGAATTCGAAAACGTTCCAACATTTAAGCTACCTTTCCTGTGAACGTCGCGTGAATTTTACAGAAGACGAGAGCAACAAAGGCAGACGATCTTCCGCGTCTGAGAAAGCCAAGGAGATAGAGGCGATAAATGGACTCGTTTCCGGCAAGAACGTGCTCATCACTGGCGGCGCTGCAGGTTTGGGGAACGCGTTTATGAACCACTTTCTGAAACACGGCGCAAACGTAAGTTGCTCTCATAAATTTAAATTCCAAAGAAAGAAAGAAAAAAAAAAACTCCAAGACGAAGTATCTTTGCAAGTTATGTTACCGTTTACATTAAATCGATTGCTAGAGAATAACCATATTAGATATCGACGAGGAGACGGGAAAGAGAGTCGAATTGAGCGTAGAGAAATCCTACGGGGAGAAGAAGGTGCACTTTATTCACGTCGATGTCTCCAACTACGAACTTATGGCTGGTGAGTATCGAACAGAGTGTAGATCATAAAGAGCAAGCGAAGTAGATAACAGAAGTCGATAAGTTTTTGAGAGTTTGTTAAAATGCAACTGATAACGATAGAGACGTTGACTAAGCTTCGATTTAAAAGGAACATAAATATTATGATTTTAGAAATCATCGATCAGTTATGAATACTGCTCGTTCCTTTTTTGTTATATGCCAGTTTTATTAATGAGTTTTCTGTTGTAGCGGCTTTTGACGAAGCAACGAGTTTAATGAACGATATTGATATTATCGTAAATAACGCTGGTACCTTGGACGAACGACGATGGGAAAGAGAAATAGCAGTTAACATTGTAAGTAACGAAGGAATCGGTTTTTATTTCTCACTTGCGTTTGTTTCAATGAAAAATTATCATATTCTTCATAATCGGTATGTTAGGGAGGAATGATGTGTACCGCCTTATTGGCTGTCAAATATTTGAGCAGAGACCAACTTGGACACGGAGGAACTTTAGTGAATATCAGTCAGCATGTAGACATTAGAAGCACTGCTCAAATTCCGATTTACACGGCCACCAAACACGCTATTATTGGCCTTTCACAATCTTTAGCAGTAAGAGATTTATTACTCTAAATTACATTATTTATTTCCGCGAACTAATCGTGACGTACATTGCTCGATTTGAAAAATCTACTATCATTAAAATGTTACTAACATTATTTCGAGAGAACAGTCATACCCTTTTCGTTGCATAATTGAAGCGATTACATAGAACTTTCTAAAAAGAAAGAAAAAAAAAAAAAGTACTATCTTCTCACTGATTAAAATTACTACGACATTACGAGTATCGTTTTTTTTTCTTTTTCTTTTTCTTCAGAAATTATAACCAATTTAGTAAAAATTGATTTAAACAAGAAAGAAATTTAAATTTAACCTCAGGACTCTTACCAATACGAGAAGACTGGTATTCGTGTGATAACTCTGTGCCCTGGCCTGACAGAAACTGCCCTCACAGTGAACAGCCCAAACAGATTACTCTCTCGAGTTATGAAGGCGGACTTCGTAAAAAATCTCGAACAACTGTCGATACAAACGTGAGTTCATTTTCATGGAAATGTCAATGAAAAAATTCAGGAAATTAATTTTTTTTTCATTACTGAGTCTCTTTTCTCTTCACAGTCCGTACGTGGTTGCTCAGGGTCTAATGTCGATACTAAGAATCGCAGAATCCGGCACCATATGGGTGATTGAGAACGGTCGAACCCCGTATGAAGTTTATGTTCCAAATCCACGTAGTCTGCGGCGTACTTACAAAAACAATTTCACGCTAGTCGAGACCAAGGTAACCACAAGAGGCCGGCCAATTAGAGAAGTCTGTGACAATACACGAACAGGTCTGATGAGTTGTGCTTGACGACGCGATGGCGGAACATCTTTGACCATGATCTTCCGCGTTCTTCAAGAAGCTCTAAAGATTGGGATCGCTACAGTGTTCAGTCGTTTTGCTTAATAGAATCCCTTCGTAGCCACTGCACGTGGGAAAATTGTCGAAGGTCGACGAAAGCGATCGGATCGAGTCGTTTTCGATCACTTGAAATGCTGTTGGAAAAAAAAAAAAAAGGTTCAAGCTGCACAGTGCTTGATATTCGTTAGTCATCGATACAATATTGAGTATTTATACAGACAATGCACGCGTATATACATGATGTTTTGTACATAAAATCAACGTGACCGAATTTAAGAGTTCTCTTAAATAATTGCAATTGTTGGCAAGAATGATATGGATTTATTATACGGTCAAGTCTCTTTTTATTTCTTCTAAATCTTTGTTCAGTAATGTCAATTTACAAGTGCTTTCTTATTTTATCATTTTTTTTTTCTTTTTTTCATTCGTTTTTTTTTTTTTGACAAGCAAGTCGATATGAAAAAACGCAATGATAATTGACAAATATTTCACGAATATAATAGTCTCCACGAAGTAATCAGTGGGCTTAAAGAGTACAACAAACATTATTTTATTACTTCAGTATTATTCAGCATTGGGACTCACATCATATCCGCTGTACAAAACAAAAATTCATCATCAGAAAATCGCATATACCGTGCATTTCTTTACACGCGCAATGCATAAAACTTAAAAGTTATATTTCTTTTTTCCCCCATATATTCCTTTCCTTCCTATTTTACTTATCTTTATTCATATATGCTTTATAATTTTTTTTTTTTTTTGTAGTTTTACTTTACTTTGCAACTTTACTGATAGCTTATGGAGATTTTCGATTTATATGTAACTAAATCTCATGTTATGTATGTATATATTTGTATACGCTCGGGACTCCGTACGAGCCATAAGAAAATAACAATCGCAAATAATACACTTATTCTGCCTTTGTTTTTTTCTTTCTGCGTCTTATCGGTTTAAGAACATTACCATGCTTTTAGAGTCTTACTCTCGCAATGCTACTCGCTACCAGCGCAACAGCGTTCTCGTACATCAAACGATTTCTTTCAAATTCGAAGCTATTAAACGCAGTCGAACTACAAGAAGGCATTCGCACTCCCATTTTTTCTTTCACTAGCATACCACGTTCAATATTTCAAAAACTATTAGTCAATATAATCGATGTACGATTCGGCCTCGCGTGCGCACGCGTATCTCTATGAATCATACAAACTCAATCTTTTTTTTTTCTTTTTTTTTTATCTTTTTCTATTTTTCTTTATAAGGAACAATTCAACGTTCCTGTTCGAAAATCAAAACCCCCTGGTAAATACGTGAGTAAAATAATTATTCCAGCTTAATTCGCATACACGGTCATTATAAATAAATAAAGTTTTTACTGTTCCAAATAACCATAATATATTGTCCTATTCTATTCTGCGTTTTATTACGCATTTATCGGTTCCTTCCTTTCTAATCTTACTTTGTTTCAATTTTTACTCACAGAAAAGCTCGGTTACTGTTTCGTGTTTCGTTTCAAAAAATCGCAACACATGCAACGCGAAAAATTGCTAGTCATTTTTTTTCTTTTCTTTACTTACCATCTTTTCCTTGAAATCGGTTCGTGTTAATCGGTTAGTCTTTATTTTTTTTCTTTTTTTTTTTATTGTATTACAAAAATTTCCTTGAGATTCTTATTGTTCATTTAATCGTAGTTGCATGTATTGCAGTATTATATAATATTATAGTACTATAATATTATATATTTAGTACTATACTAAGTATATTTAGTACTATTTAGTAGTATTATACTATTATATTCAGTATATTTAGTATTTAGTACTAGTATTATATTTAATATTATGTATTATATAATATTACAGTAGTATATTAGCATATATAATACTATATTAATACAATACTACATTTCAGACTGAAAATTTTAATCAATATAAAATTGTCGGCAGTCGTATCTCGCACTACAGTGTTAATAAAATTTCCGAGTGTTCTGCACAACTCGCACAAGTTTCAAATATTTCCAGACACCACGAAACTTGTGTCTGGGAATTGACCTACGTCATCAGCTCTTTTTTTAGGAGGTGGGGCGAGAAAGAATACGACGAATTTATTCATACACTCCAACGTCTCTATATATTCTTCGAGTTGAGGGGGGGTTAATCAACTGAGAAACTGTCACGAAAAGAAAAAAAAGAAAAAAGAAAACGGACAGAACAAGGAGAAGAGCAAACAGCATATTCGACTTTGTGCCGAAGAAGTTAAACAAAGTGGACGGATATAATTCGGGTGGGGAATCAACTCGCACGTGCACCGAAACGAGGAAGTGAAAAAAAAAAAAAAAAGAGAAAGGAAAGAAGAAAAGGAAACGGGAGAAAAAGGTAAGCTCACAAAGCGCGAAACAACCGAGCCATAAAACCGTGGGGGCGCGTAGCAGCCGAGATAAAACTCGTTCCAGCCGGAAGCGATCTTAGCGTCCCGTAACAGCGACTTTTCCCTCCGTTTCCTCGCCGAGGGAGGCAAATCACTACCCCCTTTCTTCTCTCCGTTTGTTTCTTTCTTCTTCTTCTTTTTCTTTCGCTTTGCCGCTCGAAACAACGAGAGATCGTTGAAATCAAATTCGCGAAACGATGAACGAAAGGGTTGCTGAAACAGAGTTCCCGTGAGTTTGGTGTACGCGCGGCGAGACTAATTGTCAGCCAAGTCGCGGCTTAATTATCCGGAACGATCAGCGACTTTACGTTAATTACGGACTTTCGTCGCGAGGGGACAGGCCTCGCTGATTTGTACCCGCTTCAAGTTTGCGCCTGGCTCCTCTCCGAGGCGAAGAAAATTCGCGGTTCTCCTCGGCTCTGGTTTTTGCCAGTGGATTCTTTCGCTACTTCGTTTGCTCTTTAACTTGATTGGCTCGTTGATTACAAGTTTTTCGATGCTAGAATTAAAAATGCTAAGTTCTTAATACCGGAAATCAGTATGAGCGTTGCTTGAACGAAACATTTGGAAAATGATTAACTCGAGTTAAATCCTCATTTGTTCAACGAATATTTATAATTTAGAGAAAATTACAACCAACAGGCAACGTTGACAAACATCTCTACAATATTCAATAACTCTTGAGCAGATATTTCGATTCTCGTCTGACAGAAGGAGTTTAATTTGAACTAATAAAGAGGAATGGATTTCCTTCGCCAAAAAAAAAAAAAAAAAAAAAAAAAATGCGAGATTTGCGTAAATCTTCTGATAACATCAGCGGATAGTTTGAAATTTACATTACACGTATCATAAATTTATCGTACGAATCGTACATAAGTTACAAACTTATTGCATATAACAAATCCGCTACAACGTTCTAAAATAAACAACGGTTTAAAATATCAACTATAGCGACCCGTTGAATTTCACCTAATCCCTTATCAACGGATATACCTGTTGCCACTTGTTCTACGAATAATTTATTTATCAAACGATCAAAACGGTTTTCCAGATATGAGAACTAAACGCCAACCCGACGAATTAACTCGTTCAGTCGAGTTAATTCCGAGTTACACGCGAAAATACATCGCGTTCCGGGCGATAAGAAGATTGATCGTCGCGGAATTGTGTTTTCCTTCGGTGTTAACTGGCAGCCGACGGCGATTCTTTCGGCGGAACGAGAAACTGGTATATCAAATTGATAGGTTGATAATGCAGTTACTGTTTCTGCCCTGGATGTAATTGCCCGTGGATCGGATTGATAAACCGCGAAACCTATGATCGTTCCTAAGCGTTCCACTTGCCTGCCCGGCCGAAATTATCAAATGATTTAAATCGGTTGCAAGCCGGAGCGCTAATGGCTAAATTCCGGGTAATTTGGCAAACGAGACGGCGCTTAGAACGTTCAACGTTCAACGACGCCGAGAATGAAAATGAGCCACGTGGAAATGAAAGAAATCGTTGTCGCTCGCGTTTGGAGTAAACCGCCGATTAGACGCTGGCTAATTGGTTAATATTTCGTTCGGAGAAATTTAACTCGAGATAAAGAGAAAAGAAAATAACAATTTTGATGCCGAGAAGAGTTGCTTTCACTTTCGTTCTGAGTCGGCTCGTTGAAATAAACGATCTTAATGGAAGCCGAAGTTTATACAATGAAATTAGGACTTATTTGTCGCTAATGACCTCGCTGTCGATGCGACATTAAAGAAAAATAGAAGAAGAATAAGAAATTAGGACCTATTTGAAAAATTGTTTAAAGAAAATATGTACTTTTGTTTGAATCGATTGAAGAATTGAAATAAAGCGATAAAAAGTGAAGTTTATGCAATAGAATTGGAAACCATTTGAAAATTGCTTGAAGCAACATGTACGAAATACGAAATAAAATAAGTATTATAAGTTATTTCGTTTGATAATTTAGAGAAGAATCATTGGTTGGTTCGAATAAATTAGCTTGGGATTGCTTCGAGATAACATCGAGTCAAATAAGAGGACATGTTACTTGAATAATCATTTTTCAAATACTTTATTCAATAATAATTCCGCGTAGCTGGTTCATTAAATATTAATAATTGGAGTTAGTAACCGAATCAATGATTAATTATTTGGCCCGAAGAAATACATTTATATTTCCGTCAAGAAAATCCCAAATTTGCCCAGATCCTCTGCGAACTTCAACACTTCTCGTTCTATATTCGATCGAACTCCGAAAAATTAAAAGAGCAAAGCTTCCCCTTGTCCAAATTGCCAATTCTTCCTTCGATTCTCGCCGAAATTCTTTCCAAAAGGAAGAAAAAGAGAAAAGCAAAAATACACTCTTCCTGCTTCGAATTCCAATCGAACATTCCCCTCTCCCACAGAGAGAATTTCCCGAGGAAATTTTAAAAATTCTCCCCTAAATTGAACACCGTTTCTCGTTTCACGTTTCCTCGATTCTGCGGGAAGAGTCTCCAGAGACACTCGGAAAGTAAACGCCCGACTTCGGTGATAATTAAACCGGGCCAAGTTGACCGAATTGACGCAAACATATCCATATCAATCTGTCTGGTTCTGATTATCGATCGCGGCAGTGTTCACAATCGGCGCGCGGCCCCAAACTAACCCTAGCCGAGCGTATCGACGTCGGGATACGATAGATCGATAACTAATATACCCGACGGTAGGCGAGCGTATCGACGAAGATCGGCCGCCACACCACCAAACGAAGATACTCTCGGGGAAGGCGAAAGGGAGGAAGGGTACACGAGGTACCCGGCACATAATTGATTGGCATTAACGTACCTGATTGCCACTGCCTCGTCTCCCACCCCTTCTGCCCGCCGTTCGGACACTCTATCCCGCGGGGTGCTTCGACATCTGTCTCTTGGTTGGTCAACGATGTTTGAAGATCGTGGCAATAATCAGTGGCAATATCGGAGCCGAAGGAGCGGACAAGAACGCTCGAGAAAGAAGAAAGCGTAACTTTATCGTTGGAGAGAGAGAGAGAGAGAGAGAGAGAGAGAGAGAGAGAATTCGAGACGCTGTTTTCTTAACACAAGTGCATATATCGTGTTTTTATTAGATACAATAGTTTAGTATCTCACATAACAGTTCAATTTAATGAAACTTGATAAATTTCGATAAACTTCGAGT